TGCGGCAACGCATTCAAGAGCAAGGACGAAGCCCTTCTTTCCAGCCGGGACCACTTCTTCTGCTGCAACTCTGGTGTAGGCCTTGGTGTGCTCGTCAACCTCTCAATTGGCGACAGCTTCATGTGGTGATCATACCAAGTCCTCGCTGTTGAGAGAGTCAAGTCCCACCACATCTCACTCGTTGAGCTCAAGTCTGCCATATGAGGATGCAGACAAATCACCCAATCACCAAAATCGATAGGCGCCGTCTCCGGATTCCATTCAGCAAGTTTTGGGAGATCCGCCACATAGCGCACCACTTCAATCTCATCACCTTTTCCTTCCTCCTTGGAGATCACAATCTGTTTCTGAAGCTCCTGCATGCCCTCCATCAACTTGAGCATGATCCTCATGGACTGCTTGTCAACGCTCTCCTTTGGCCTGCTTGCTCTTTGCGGCTCCTCAGAAGACGAATCGCTCTCTGACTGTTCTTGCCTGGCTTCTGCCCCATCCTCCTGAGAAGATCTGTCTTGCCGGGCCTCTGCCCCTTCCTCCTTAGAAGGTGTTCCTTGCCGGGCACCTGCCCCTTCCTCCTTGGAAGGTCTTTCTTGTCGGGACTCTGCCCCTTCCTCCTTTTTCAACATGTTGGCTGCTTTGTCATCTGGTGTGGTAAACCTCGACGATCCCTTCTTTTCCAAGGCTTCCAACAACTCTTGACGCTCTTGACGAAGTCTTTGGTTTTCATGCTGTGCCGCACGCAACTGAACCCCTAGATGTTCTATGCCATGCTCAACTTGCATTCTCCACATGTAATCCCTTTGCCTCGCCTCATGTTCACCTTGCTGAGATCCTACTGATTGAAGCAACCCTGTGAACCAACCTGGAACTGCTTGTCGCTCAGCTCCCCCGTGTCCATGTTCTCCAACCGCAGGACCATTCCATGAAGCCGCAGGCGATGCAAAAGGCATCTGGTGGATCTCATGAAGTTTCACCGTCTGCTCTGGTGAAAAAAGTGGCAACATACTTTGGACCTGTCCCTCTGGTGTCACAAAGGAATGGGGACCTAGTGAAACTGGCTGTCCACTGGGTGTTGCCATCTCTTGACGCTTCTCTGGTTCTATTTCTTTTGGGGTTCCTTTTTGGCCTCTGACTGAACCCTCCTTTGACTTCTGACCCTGGCTAACTGGTTCTGTGGCTGCCCTTGGTGACCCAGAGCCCTTTGCAGCGTCTGACCCTCGCCCTTTCTCCAACCCATCCGGTGTCCTCAAGGCCAAGGCTTGAGAAGCTGGTACAAGTTCTTGTCCAACCAGTTCCAGGCCTCTCTCAGCTGCATCTCCTCTCGCCCCAAGCGCCTGTGCTGCATCGCCTTCAGCGCCCGCAGCCGCCATCTGCCGATCACCAGCTGCCGCCGCTTGCACCGCGCCAGCCGCTGCCATCTGCTCAGCGCCAGCTGCCGCCATCTGCTCAGCGCCAGCTGCCATCATCTGCTCAGCGCCAGATCCATCGACAGCGCCGCCATCCGGTCTACGTCTACGCATCATGTCAGAAGTCTTTGGGGGTTTACACAAGCTCCTTGGGCTCATAACCTGTGTTTCCTGAAGCCTCCCAATGCCAACAAGTGAACCGTCCTGGAACCCTGAACAGCAACTGAGATCTCGACTCCAACCGGAAAAAGAATGTTTCAACCCAAAAAACAAAACCAAGTTTCCCCAAAACTCCAAGCAGCCACCTCGCTGCCAGCTGACGCACCTTTGTGCCACTTGACATCTAAAGGGCTTCGGTCCGGCCCAGATGCAGGTTCTTCAAGATTCCTAGACTACACCCGGAGGGTAGTAGTCTGGACTACACCCGTTGGGTAGTAGTCAAAGCAAAAGTGGAAGTATTTCCATTTGAGAATTGGATAAATAGGGATGCATGAAATTCTCACACGCACTCTTGATAGGTGGCTTGACATGATACTCATGATGATTTGGATGCCCCATCTATGGATCCTTTGTTCCCCTGCGGGCTCGCAGAGGTATGATGACTGCTAAGATTTCATTGTACACTGGGGAAAACTAACATAGATATGGCAACCCCATGGTTTCCCTAGGAAAATGATCTACACGTTTTGTTTTTTCATGGTTTTTCCACACCTATGTCAGTTTTCAGCAGGGTATTTGTTCATTTTTTGTTGCATTCCCACCCCTTGGTGTAACAGGACTGGGTCAAAACTCATTTATCATACAAACGAGAGGAAACACATCTATTTGACAGGACAGCTATTTTGATATTCACCCAGGTGTCAGGGTTTCGATCCATGGCCAAAATACTCGTGCAGAAACATGGGATTTTACCTGCCCAAAATGAAGCTTGAATCAGCAGGAAAAAAGGATTGAATCAGCAATCATTGGATTGAACCACCAACAATGGAGACAACTGAGATAAACCGCCAGACAGAGGGTTTCTTCTATCAGTGCCGAAATAGAGGACGCCACCCCCATAAAGGCTATACCAGTAGCACGAAAGAAAACCAGAGCCGACACTTTCAATGTCCAGCAGGAAAACCCCATGAAAACAGGGATCAAATTTGTTGCCCAGTTCTCCTTCATCAACTGGCTGTGCTCGATCGTCGGATGCTGTGTGCAGAGGTGGGGTGTCAGGACCGGTTGTCAAGATGACCATCTGCGCGTATATGTAATGGGTTATACAGTTAAACACCCCCAAACCAATGGTTTTCGGGTTAAAAGCAACACCTTTTGGATGATATTGGGATTCCCCATGTGGAGAAACTTCTATTTTTTCTTCGGCCATAGATTGTCACAAACATCCCATGTTAGGTACCCATTTCTGATCAATACTTCTTTGGCTGCGCCAGGGAAAAATGAACCTAAAGGGTCGCGTGGGCCCCCGTTGTTTCACATGGTGCACTCGTTGTTTCACATGGTGTCACTCGGGCTGCAACAAAAAAAGCCTGCCACGTTCCAACGGATGTTCCATGATCCTCCTGGTTTTAGGCTGCGCGCGCATAGAAACCCGCAGTGGTTTCTGTGGCGTCTTCATTTTGGATTCCTGATGCTCAGTCGAGTTGAATGTTCCGCAGGCATTTGGATGTTGCTTTTTCATGGTTTTTCCTAAGGTTTTTGACACCCAGGATATCTCAGCTGAATCATGGAACGAAACATCGATAAGTTGAACTCTTGAAACAGGCTTTTTGAGAGACCGCAAAACTACTGTAACAATCTAGATTTAATGTTGAACAGACTTTTGACTGTTCGCACGAATGTAACATTGACAGAGTTTAAGATCGAATTCCTCGCACATGTCTCGGATGCGGCCAAGTGGGACATCGCTTGGAAAGCTGCAGTTCCAAGGCCGCCGTGGAGATTAGAAGATTGAGATGGAAGTTAGAGAGGACCAGACACAAAAACAATCCCGGTCGGAAGAACAGAAAGTCTGGATATACGAGGGAGAAGGGTCGAAAAGCCCATACCAAAAAAATGTTAGGAAGACGTACTGTCAAAAACGCACAGCGCAGCATGACGTATGTGTGCCAGTGCAAGAGAAGATCCCACAGCGTCGCATGACGTATGTGTGCCAGTGCAAGAGAAGATCCCACAGCGTGGCATGACGTATGTGTGCCAGTGCAAGAGAAGATCCTACAGCGTGGCATGACGTATGTGTGCCAGTGCAAGAGAAGATCCCACAGCGTAGCATGACGTATGTTCAAGTTGCCATGAACGTTATTACACCCACCCCACCCCACCCCACCCCAACCCCACCCCAAATGACAGAGATGCATATTTTATTCCTATGCGCACCATACAATCCATGAGTGTTCAAGTTGACATGAACGTTATTACCCCCACCCCACCCCAACCCCACCCCAAATGACAGAGATGCATATTTTATTCCTATGCGCACCATACAATCCACGAATGTTCAAGTTGACATGAACGTTATTACCCCCACCCCACCCCACCCCAACCCCACCCCAACCCCACCCCAAATGACACATTGTATTGCGGGTTTTTACGTGCGTGCATGGTTTTGGTGGGTCTGGTTTTTAGATTGCAAATGCCGAACTTGCCGAGGTGGCTTCTGATCCAGCACGTTTCAGAAAGTGAGTTGAGTTTTTCAGCTGACAATCAAACCATTGCAGTGCTTCCCTAACACCCTCACCAATGCAATCTTGTTGCAGGGACTTGGAATGTCGACACGTAGAGAAGACCCAGATGGTGGACTGAAACGGTTGACCCTCTTGCATTTGTTTCCAAATCGATTGCTGCTTTCTGTTTTGTGGGCAGGGAGGGGCTTGGAAATGGAAGGCACTGCTGTGCAATGCTCTTTGCTCTGAGTAAAATACCCCAATGTTTGGGTCACGTTTGGGGATCCAGTTCTTTGACACCGTACGGTCCTGGCGGTCCTGGGCATTTCTGCATGTTGTCATTTTGTGGTTGATGCCTTGCCCAAAGTGATTGGGTCACTGTTGATCGCAGCTGATTGTGGGGCCAGTATGCCACTCCTTTTCCCGTTGGGCACTTTCAGGGGTCTCGTGGGATTGATTGAGGAGCGCAATCGGCGCTGGAAACCGCAGTTCGACAGTTCAAAACTCAACTGAAAGAACAAGACCAATCTGAGATCTCCGACTTGACCCATGCAGATTCCGTGTTACAAAGCAGGCCACCCATCACACTGGCTTTATATGTATATTTGCAGAGTTTTTCTTTGGTGGAAGAGGAACAATCATACTAATCATACTATAATATACTGCTATAGTTACTTTTTTGGCCGATTGCGGTGTACCCAATGTATACAAACACATGCAATGCAGTCATCCTAGACTCACTTGAGTTCCCTGCGCAAACTGCGAGCCTAGCCGGCATGAAGCGGAAGAAAAGTGCATTTGCAAGTGCATCTGCAGAGCCGAAGGCAAAGGCAGGGAACGAATTTGTTCACGGAAATCCTGAGATTTTTCACCGGGCCAAACAGTACACATCATCACACCATTTAGCCAGGCCAAATCTGATGGAACTCCACCCATGGTCCGCATCTCAACTAAGTCATGGGACTTCAGAGTTTCTCGATGCTGTTTTCTGAGGCGAAGTGGCAGAGGGATCGTTTGGTGCGCTTGAACCAGGCAAAGCTGCAAAGCTCTGGACCTCGTTGAGCTCGAATTCGCTTTGTGGGACTCGATATCCACTGGAGTATTTGAACATTTTTGAACATCTTTGACCAAGAAAAGTTTATGGAGGTCCCAGGAACGGCCCAGGTTTAAGTGATCTCCCGGCACGATCCAAACATATTTCATGAGATATTGTGGCTGCAAAAAACACGTTAGCTTAAAGCCACCACAAGATGTATTCAAACCCCCATTGCCAGACTCTTGCTAGTGCTTTGTCGCGCTTTGTTTGCATCAAAACTACGATAAACCTTATGACTACAGACGGGCTACTGGAGAGGCCAGAAGTGGATAGTAGCTGTGGGTCTTCACTACCCAGCCAGGCCATTGCCAAAGCAGCTCGGTACAAGAAGATGAAGCAGGCAACATTGAAAACACCTTCCAGTTGTGAATTGTGACTACTTGACCCATTGGAAATTCCAAGCAATACCTCAAGATGATATCAAGGCAAAGGCCCCTTTCCAGCTGATCGGCAACTGTCTGTGATGATGGTGGTCCTCGCGGCAGATTCCTGTTCACAGGCAGCTTCAGACAGATCATACGTAGCCTTTGTGTTGGTAGCAGTGAAAGCCGCTACATGGCGGAGAAATGTGTGTGTACAGCTATGAACAAGGGACAGTAGACATCAGTAGACATCACTGGACCATAGGCCTTCGGAGTACTGCACACCTTGCACCTGCATCCACATAACTATGTGAGTGCCCAGCTAGACTTCGATTTGCCCACAATGGATGGAACAGCTGTGCTATGGCCGCATGTTGGCACCGTGCCATGGACCGCTACGGTGGAATGGTGCCATGAGATGGGTGGCTGCACCCATTTGAAGGGCTTCGAACAAGAGGCACCATAGGATGAAAGATGTAACCATATGGGTACCGGTCCATATGAAAGCCTGTAGAAGACAGAGAATTTGGTTATTTTAAGCACTTTTTTTTTCTCCTCCTATTTAGGTACTCAAGTTTGACTCCTACCCATTTGACAGCATCACGGATCAACCTATTTATGGTTGCAAACATCATTTACAAGTTGCACGGGACCTGGCATGAGGCCAAGTCCAATCAACATGCAGGTTGCAAGCACAGGTACCTGGACAGCGACTACGTTGCTGGGCGTTTTGGCAAAAAGTGAGTCTAAACTCTCTTCAAAGGTTGCAGTATGTTGCAGTCTGAAGGGGCCAAAGCTTGTGATGCGACATTTGTAGTCTGGAATGTGGTGGTTCTTTTGGTGAGGTCTCTGCAAACATGATTCGGTGGGTCTCATAAATGTATTGCTTATGGCCACACAAGGCACCCACCAACTTTTTAGCATTTGTTAGCCGCTATTAGCCTTGAAACCTCACTACGTCAACCTCTCAGGTGGCCGTGGCGGTGCCTTTGCAGCAAGGGAGTCTAAGGGAGTCTGTGATTTAGCATTGAGATCACCTCATATCGTTCCTCTTGGCAGGGGTTAACAGGGGTTCAACAATTGCAGATGTTGTTCCCATTTACAGTAATTCCTGATTTACGTCGACGATTAGTTGATCTTTCTTGTATGAAGTACCGTATTTGATTCCTGATTTTCTTTCCGCAAAAGGCGCTGGTGCGAAGCAGATCCAGATGCTCGCAGGCCAGCCAGAGGGAAACCACAGCTTTATGCCAGGAGTCTTGAAGACTTCGACTGATTTCAGCTGATGAAAAGTCCTTGCTTTTGCATTTAAACTACCATGGGCATCCATGAGCTATGATGTCTCTGCAGGTTTCCAACAACTTCAAATTGTTCCACCACCATTTCCTTCATGCGCCAGGTACACGCCACGGCTCCCCTTGGCATTCCGTTGACCAACTTCGGCTTCCCTGTCGTGTGGAGCGCTTGGACCTTCGAGAGAAGCTCAGTGCAAATCAGATCAAGGAGCTAGTTGAGCTCTTCGAGACGCCACTTGGCATGATCATCATCCATTGATAGAATGATGGGGAATAATTACTACAGTAGTGGATTTATGTGAATAATTACCAATATGGATAAAACAATGAATGGCATTCTCATAATGGATTCAAAATCTCGTTGAATGATGTCGAATGGGGATTCTTATCATTTGATTGTGGGAATATCTACTAAGCAGTACTAGGGGATCGTGAAACAAATCAATGGCCAGAAACTTCACAAGCAGCTTACTAGGATTTGCTGGGATAAGCTAGCCAATGCAGACAGTACCAGACTCGGCAGTCGCGAGGTATTCCGTTTTGGTGTTCAAATCTGCCAACCTCACAGACGAGCAGCTAGTGACCTTTGCCAGAACTTCGGCAGAGAAGATGGGGATTCGAATCACGGCGTCAAGATGATTCCGAGATTCTCATCCAATCCATTTATTTCGTTGAGATATCATTATCCAATCCATCAGATGTTGCTGTAGATGACAATAAAATATAATAAATGATAATAAATGAATATAACAGATATAAATGTCTAGTGATCCAGTGTGCATGAGGTGCAGCACCAGTCGCCCAGTTGGGTTCAGGCAGTTTCGCTGCTGCATATCCTGGTGCCTCCCTGGAAGCCTCTGAGAGTCCAGCGGGTGGTGCCAATCAGCGTGGCGGTGGAAGGCGACTGATAGGCACGGCAGGATGGTCACCATAAGCCGCCCTCAGTAGGTTTAACGATTTTGACGTTCTTTGTTGCCGAGGCGAAAAGGTTACAGATGGGTTGAATGGGTTTGGAGATTGCCGAGATTTTGCGGAAAGTAAGTGGATGTTGATGTAATGAGCCTCTTTGAGCTCCCTGTGCAGTCACTTTTGCCGCCAGAGATTGCGAAGACGTGATCTTGCAGGCAAAATTGCGAACTTTGATCTTGGCACAGGCGCGGCACATAGACATTGTGTGCAGAACTTAGGTGTCACCCATCTGGACAGCCCAAACAAGAGCCTCGGAGCTTGACATTTGCTTTGGTAAGTTTTCAACAAAACTCCAGTCCTAGCGTCAGACACAATCAGTACTCGTACTTTAGTAGCCCACTTTGAGCTCTTTTCAATTCTAAACCAATTTGCACTGGAAGATCTTTGTTCATCCTAATCATTTCATTAGTCTTTATCCTACATCCTAAACGTCCTTAAAGACGCTCCAGGCCAGATCCTGCCGTCCAGCAGCAAACTGCTGAAGCATCGAGCTGGCAACGGCTTGTGGCACATTGATTCCTCCTTTAAGGTGCGAAGCCTCGACAGCTGGAATGGGTGGAATGGACCTGGGGACCTGGAATGAACCTGGTGCAGCTACAATCCATCATCAAACTCAAACCTTAGATCAGCCGATCACCTGATAGCTGCGACTCCAGGTTCTGCCAGCACTAGCTTCGTTGATGTCGGGGCAGTTGGTGGTACCTCCAGGTGCGAGACTTAAAACATGTGCTTGGCCCTGACAAGGGACCATCAACACCATGACTGTGATTCTTCAGGGAAATGTCAAGGAAATGCAATGCTCGTTCGTTCAGTTTATGGTATTTATAATTATTTATATGTATTTATGCTCAAGCCTCCACTTTGAAGCATCTCAAGTCGGTTCTAGACTGAAAGTACGTAGGATTTGAAACGGACCAGCCTTCAGCTCACAAACCTCTAGGTACAAGCATATACTTTTCGAACACTTTCAATTCAAATTCCATGATATTCCAGAATATCCTGGGAAATCATTCGGCTTCCAACACTTGCAGCTCAAAGCCACAGGCAGTGGCGGGGAGACGGAGTTCGCATCTTCCCGTGCTGCCTATGAAGCCTTCCCACAAAAGGCCACAGTGGATGGCTTGATTTGCGTCTTGGCCACGAAAAGACTTCCAAACGGAAAGGCATCACACTGACAATATATATATATATATACATATATTATTATTATTTATACATATATTATTATTATTATTATTATTATATAATACATGGTATATTACGTAGTCAGAGTATGTCAGAGTACTCATTGTAATGTGCAATTCATGCATGTTTATGCCTGCGGACCGAAAACCGTGCTCGTAAACCGCACGTTTTTGAAAAACGCAATTTCGGAGGTTAGGTTGGGGTGGGGTGGGGTGGGGGGCATGTCAACGTTCCTTGTACTTCGTACATTATAGTTTGCTACGCTGCAGAGATCTCTGCGATCGTTGCTACGTTACTTGTTACTACGCTGCAGAGATCTCTGGTGTTGTTGCAGCGATGACAGTGAAAAGGCAAAAAACGCGCCTCAGATTTTGCAAGGTTTCCAACATCAGAAATCAACTCGGCACTGTGGTAAAATCACCCTTTTTGGACAAAATGTGCACACCGATGAGCACGGTTTCCGGTCCGGCGGGATGTTTATGTACATATACGGTATGTTATATACTTATAGCATATACAGTACATGATACATGTAGCAATGAATTATATCGCTATGTCAATTCTATATTCCATGGTGGTACTTACACAAATTGTATCAAGGATGGTTGCTCGGCTGGTTCTCAGGTGTCCATGACTTTGACTACAGCCTGCGACTACTGGGGCAGCGCCCACCCATCAGCATTTGCCGCCGGGTGCCACCGGCGCGCCACTTTTTGGTGCGAAGCACTGCTGCCGCAAGGTCTGGGGCAGCAATGGAATAGGGCAGAAACAAATCTTTGGGCATTGTTTCAGATGGGTTTGTCTGAAAATGGGGTATAGTCCCCAAATGACCATTTAATGTTCTTGATAGAATGGGGAAAATGATGATCATCCATTGGAATTGTGGGTACTTTTCAGCAAACCCAGATGTTGACCAAACTCCGCGAATGGCTCTCCTCTGGACCTCTTGCTTCGAGCCTATCCAGCTGGTAGGTCATTCTTTGCAGGGAAGCATTGCAGCCATGTAGAGGGCCTTGATCTGCAGGAAGGACGATCTTTAATCAGGTGGGATGTGTACTGCCATGATCGTTGGTCGTGCACATAGCTCTCTAGATAGATGCACAGTGGACCTATCGCCTTCTGAATGTGACAGAATGGAAGGAAGTAGGTCACAGTGGTGGTGATGTGGAGAGTGGCAGCATTTCCAACACCAATGGACCAAATTAAGAGAGGCCTTCATGACCAGTGTACTGTCTTGCCAGCAACGATGCGTTTTCCGGCTGCTTTTTCGGCTCAAGGCCACCTTTCCAGATCAGGCCGAAGCTAAGAACGACGATGGCTCTTTGATGGAACCAGTTTTTGCGGCGGCATGCGGCGGCAAGGGGACGATGAAAAGAGTGCATGCCGTTTAATGCGAGACCAGACCATCCAGTTGAACAAAGATGTCCAGCCAAAACTGTGCAATATGGGCCTGATTAGCCAACAATTAAATTTGGAGTCACTATGAGTCACTGGACGACGAAAAAAAAAGTTGCTTGAAGAAGAGACAATATCTTGCCTCGCAACTCATTGAACGTGGTGGCAATAAACTACTGCAGGCCAGACAGAAGACGAGACCACATTTTCTTGGTGCCCCATGTGGCCTCCCCAAGTCTTGCTTCGTCAAGCAGGAATGAAACAAACGCTGGGGTTACGATGAAGTAATGAAGATCTTGGAGCCTGCGGCCGCCACGTGATGCTGGACCCAATGGAACTGAAGCTTGAAAAGAATGGTGTTCCAACAGTGCAGCAGGTAGACTGGTGCTGTTGGAGATTCTGAAGGAATGGACAGGAATGGACATAATGGACTTCAGCCAAATTTCATCTACGAGGAGACACCAGCCATCCAAAGCTTAATGTTGTCGTGGCTGCCAAGGAAAATGCCAGGGGAAAGCAGATCTGTGGCAGCCAAGCTGCAGTGTCCACGGTCTTTTTCTGACCAAAATGGACCTGGTTTACATGGCATTCCAGACAATGGCCTCGCTGGGCGGTGCACGAGGATGTGACACCCCGTACAGAATAGGGACAGTCTTTGCATTTTCAGAATGCTGACAGTGAATATCTCAGCAATTTGAATCTTGCCTTGAACTGGATTTCCGGATTCATGTTCTTGATGTTTGCACCTCCTGGCCATGCATCCTGATCATCCTTTGTGGAGTGGCTACATCAAGAGCCGCCAGAACCTGCACACCCAGGTGAAGACTGATGTGATTGGTCCTAAAAAGAAATCCTTCCTGAGTGCTCTTGACAAACATGACATGATTCTGCGTCAAAACGGAGCCACGTTAGGGTCCAAGGAAAACGCCAAAATACAGTACCTACTCCAGTACTCCATTCACTTTCCAGTCTGCTTGCTAGAGAATCCATGCTGCTGGAATCCACGAACATCCTGTGAAAGCCACCGCGGGCAGAAGTTGAATGTGTTTCGCTGGACAGGCAAATCAACAGGCACATCGCAAAGCAGGAGTCACTTCTCTTTTTTGCGGGCAAGAGATGGGAAGGGAGCTCTCAGAAAATCCCCATCATGCGAAAGAACCAAGCACGCTTTCGGAAACACAGACAATCTGATAGAATTATGATAGAGTTATGAGCCTGCTTGAAAGCAAGCAACGAATCTGGCAACCCAAGAATATAGAAGGCATCAAACAATAAGCTTATCCTGCCAAGAATTCCAATGGCTTGTACATGGAGGCGTCCGATCGGTTCACGAAATCATCCAATCATTCCAATTGAACAGTAAGTATGTTTGGATATGTTTGGCTAGAATTGAAACAGATCAATTCTCCAATTCCTGGAGAATTGCACCAAAAAAGTGGGGAATCATAAAATGGGTGGTAAAATGGGGTCAAGGTATGTAAAGGCTGGAAAAGCAGCTCCCAGCCATGTCCAGCCACGGCAAGGTTTGTGTATCGCCATAGCTGGTCTCCGGGTGATGTGGTGCTTTGCGACAACCGGAGCTGTGTGCACCGGGGACGCCCCTGGAATCCCAGCGCCAAGAGGATGGTCTGCTTGGTGAAAATTGCTGAAGGTGACCTGGTAGAATCCGGTAGAACAGTTATAAACTTACTACATGTTACTACCATTTACTACCATATTCCTAGTAAACGAACCAGTGATTGGTACATTGATACATACTTTTTCCATCTTATTCCACGGATTTCAAGGGTTATTCGATGCTGAAGGAGTTCTGAGTGCAACCCTAGTGCTTGTTTGCTGCTGGTTCTTGCCTGTGCTACTTACGTCCAGTGCAGGTTTCAATGAAGTCGAACAGAGAGACCTGGCATGTCAGGGTGCTTTGGCTTGAAGTTTTTTTTGAAGTTCTTTCCATCCATGTTTCAACATGTTTCAACATGTTTGATGGCCATGAACTTTGTAGAACCTCAGGAAGGAAGGCACTGAATGTGCAGGTCTTGACTTGACTGCTGAAAGTCCCCTAGTTTGCACAGCACTGCATCCTGTTCCACGTCACCTGAGATTCATTGCGCGATGACAACCTGCCGCTGGCCGCAATTGCAGAGGTGCACATGTCACCATCTACTGTACCCATACTAGCTGGCTGGTCAAGCAGAAGTGAGCCAACCTTCCTGTTTTCTGCTGGTTATATAAGTTATCGGTTTATCATTGTATGAGCCTATGCCTATGCCATATCTATGCAACTATTATCAACCACGAACATGGAAATGATTGGACACAACGATTCGATTGGACACCCTAGCCAACAAAAACACACAGATTTAAACAGCAAAATTGGGGGTTAGGCGCCACGGGTATTCTCTTTTGCAGCGACAGGCTGCCCCAGCGCCTCAATGGGATGAAGCCCTGGCAATGCTGGAGGCGGTTGGTTGGCAGGACGCTGCCACTTTCGCGCGCTGGCCATTGGTGAGATGATCCCCCAGTAATCCCTCCATATCCCTCCCCATACTGAAGAACCCGTATATGAGTCCCCTGTAATGAACAGATCTAATGCTAAACATAGCTAAACTAGGGGTTCGTTTGGGGGTATTTAATACTAGGGGGAAGGGATGGTTTGTGACCTTGCAGGAACTTCCAACGACAACCCAGGCAGGGGCGATGCAGCTTGGCATGAGAGATGCTCAAATGATGCAGGGCCAATCTACGGGACGAGATCAGCCATATGCAGCACTTGTGTCATTTGTTCTGAAACAGAAACTGACCTTGCTTCCCGAAACTTGTCCCAACCGACCACAGTGTTGGGGCCTCTCCAGCCAAGACAGCTAAAGCCACCCTTGGGATTCTCCATCCCCTCTGGATTCCGCTCATTTCAGGTACTGCCGTCATGCATTCCCAATGCCAAAGTGTGCGGCCAAAGAAAAGTGACGCAGTGTGGTTTCCGTGCTGGTCCACCATTGCTTGGATATGTTGGAACAACCAACACCAGGACGTAATGTTGATTTTTTCTTTTTGTCCTAACGAGTTGCAGAGTGACACCCCTGGTTGCAGTCAAATCATACTTGGATGTGCAATTCCACTAATAAGTGGATATATTACCTATACCATACCTTTATAAGGGTTTTGTATCCCAGCTCATGGGGTTAAGATCTCATGGTTATGACATGTTATGGAACTCCACCTGGAGCAACGACAGGCGCGAAATGCCTTCCAACAGATTCTGGAGGAACAGCTGCAACCGAGTGTTTGGCCGACATGCTTAGCAGCCATCAGCTGAGCCATGGGTCAAACTCGGGGTCGCCTGAGAAAGATTTGACAGTAAGAACAACAACGATAGTAACAACAAGAATAATGATAGCAACAATGATAACAAACAATGACAACGATAATAATGATGGCAACAATCATAGTGATGATGCTAATTGGAATGATAACACTGGTAATAACATGATAAGAACATGATATCAATTTGTCAGAAATGCCATGAAATGACAAACATCAGTGCTTCTCATGGTTTGAATCACCCATAGCCGACCCATAGCCATCTGCCGCCAGGCTCAAACCTTTGGTTCTCTGGTCAATGCCGCAGTGCGAGTGGGGGACTTGTCCGAGGCCATGGAGCGACCGCGCTTGCCACTGTGGCCATCTGTGGCATGGGGATGATCGGATGGTTTATAAATGTTTATCATTACGCCTACCACATCTTACCACACTCAGGAAAACACTTAGGAGGATGTGGCAAAAATGTGGCAAACTGTGGGAGGACGCATCATACTCTCTGAGTCGATGGAAATCTGCAGGCGCGCCGGTGGCTTCAAGAATCTCAGAGTCGCGGGGTGAATCCTGGTGCTGGGGACCCAAGGAAGGAATTCTCTTCCATTTCATCATTTCCCAGGCGTAACGATTTGTGTCGGTTGGTGCTCCTTGTAATCGGAATCCTTGGAATAATTAGATTCTTGTCCATTCTGGTTGATGTTTCATTGGTTTTTTTCCACTGGATATGAATGGATCCTTGCAGCTCCAAATAAACAACTGGAATTGCCGGGTCAATGCTGGCCGTGAGGTGGTGGCCTATACCACCCTACTGAAGGGTCTGTGCGAAGCTGGACACATAGATGAGTCACGCGAGGCAGCGTTTCCAGGTTTCAGGGCGTAAGGTGTTCGACTTCTGATGTGAAGGCAGTTGGCAAGTCGGAACGCAAGTTGCAGTGGGCGGAACCACTTTAATACTCTTTAATATCCCTCCAGGATGGTTTCAACCATCTCAAACCATGTTAACCCATCATTTTTTGACGTTTTTTCATGACTCACTGGAAGCTGGTCATTTTATGATGCGATGGTACAGGTAGGTAGTAGGTGGCTGCACCGCTTGGGGAGGCACTGAAGGAGATGCTGCAGGTAGGGTGTCAACCCAACATCCGCACAGCCAACACGCCCAGCGCCACAGTGGGCTGCGGTTTGCCATGGATTGAGATGGGCGTACAATGAATGTTTATCTTTTTTTGATTTCATGTTGGGTTACCATACATCATTCACTTTGACTTTCCGAAAATTTCAACCGGTTTTGTTGACATTTGTTGACTTGTTCCAAATTATCCAAATTGTTCGTTTGATTTACAATATGTCCTGGGCCGGGGCCTGGGAGAACTTCCCGCATCGAGGCTCCTGCGAGGTGGGCCAGTTTGCAGCCGAAGCTGAGGATGTCCGGATGTCCCATGATGTTCTATGTTGGGCAGGCTACCGACGAGCCGGAGAGGTGGAAGCTGCTGTGGAATTGCTGCAGCTTGAGCCTCTGGCGCGGATCGAAGTGATACACATCTTGGGTAGAGCCAGAAATGTTATCATATTTTTTTCCAATTCCTGGGTTTATCCTAGATGTATATAGTAATTACAAAATCAAACGGGCAGTCATGTTGTCGGAATTGGAACAGTTGCAAATCACGGTGGTGACAACCTCCTTTCTGGCGATTCAGAGTCTGTCCCTAGAGATTCCCTATATTGGGACTTTGATTTCAGGGTCCTCTCGGTGTTTACATAGTAGTTGTTTGGGCTCTGAACACTTGCGCGACAAACTTGAAATTGGGATCCGAATCTCTTACTTAGCACACAATCCGAGAGGTTTTCTGGATTTCATTGTGGACAGCGCAGCAATGGAAGTGTGTTTCCAGGCATCAGGCGAGACCCTGATAGTTCTCAATCCAAGCGACTTCGAAGGCAAATCTGCAAAGTCAGTGAAACAAACCCTGGCATCGCATGTTGGTGTCTCCAGATTTCGACAGAGATTGTTCCTGAGCGATGCTTTGTGTGAGATCCCGGACGACGAGGTGTTTGGTTCGATGTCAATGAAGGTGCAGCTGGTGGTTTTGGATTTTTGGCAACCCGATGCAAAACAGGATGCGCCGATGATGTTGGCGTGTAGCAATGGCGATTCAGTTGCCCTTGAAAGGTTTCTTCAGCGTCCCCGTGATCCCAATGTGAAAGACAGATGTGGCTTGACACCGTTGCATCGTGCTTCTTGGAATGGACATGTTGAGCCTATGCGGCTCTTGCTGGAGGCGGGCGCCGAGAATGATGCACGAACCACAGGAAATTTGGCAATGTCACCCATGCATTTGGCAGTCCGCAGTGGCTGTCTTGACGCTGTTCGCTTTCTGCTTGAAGCTGGAGCTGACAAAGCTCCTATTGCGGACAGTGGTGCAACACCATTGCTGCTTGCAGCATGTGACGGTCATCTCGACATTGTCCGCTTGCTAGTTGAAGTTGGTGCAGACAAAGAACAGGCTGATATAAGTGCTGCAACACCCTTGTGGCTTGCAGCCCAAGAGGGCCACGGCGACATTGTTCGCTTTCTGATTGATGTCGGGGCCAACAAGAATCAAACAGCACTATCTGATGGGTCAACACCATTGCACGTTGCGGCTGCCAAGGGTCATCTTAACGTTGTCCGCATGCTGATTCAATCTGGGGCCAACAAAGACGCGCCAACGTTAGACTTTGGGTCAACTCCGATGCATTGTGCAGTTCTGGAGGCACATGTGGACATTGTTGGCTTGCTGATTGATGCCAAGGCTGATAAGGATCAGCCCACGACGGACGATGGGTCAACGCCCTTGCACATTGCAATTGAGGAGGGCAATCTGGACATTGTCCGTTTGCTGGTTGAAGCTGGGGCCAACATGGACGTGCCAACGTCAGACACTGGGTCAGCCCCATTGCACATGGCAGCTCAGCACGGCCATCTCGAGATTGTTCGCTTGCTGGTTGAGTCTCGGGCAGATATGTCTGGTGCCACAAAGAATGGAGCAACTGCTCTGGAATTAGCATTCCAGCATGGCCATGTTAATGTTGGCCGCTTTCTGGCAGAACGTGGGGCAAAGTCGCGCCACTGGATGGACATGATTCTGAAACATGTGCAGCTTGGGAAAACAATGCCATGACATGCCATGACCTTGATGAGACTGGGTGTGGATAAGTTGGTGACCAGCCATGGCAAGTTCTATCAAGTTCTCATGAATTGGCATTTCCATGCATTCCCCCTCCAAAAGGGACATTGGGTCACGGATACTGAGGCAAATGGAAGAAGAATGGGGTCTAGCACCAGATGCTCTGCTGGCTGCTTGAAGCAGCTCGTGGGTGGCTAGCAAACTGCTCATGATGAGACAGAATCAACCACCAAACATATACAATGAGATCAATAAGTGTACCGTGAATCAAGGAATCCACATAATGTGAACAGATCCAAACAAATCCAAAAAGACCCAGAGCACACCGAAGCCAACGACTCCGTTTTGTGACAGTTTAAGGCTTGTGATCTCGTGCTTTTTGTTGTGCCAGGCAACGAGCAGCGAATATCTCGTGGCGTTGCTATGTCAAGGCTTTCAGGTGAAAACTGCCAGAACTTTGCTAAAGAGGCACAGTTTGGGGGCACCATTGGGGAATCCAAGGATTTTGTTGATCCTGGAGTGTGGCTCAAGGATTTTACCTTGACCCAACATTGGATGCTTTACAAAGCCTGTGGTTGGCGCCTGTGGGGAGATTCCAAAACTGAGCTTTGATGTCTTGGTACAGGCAATACGCCTTTGCCAGCTGCCTGAGCATTTGAGATCATGTATCAAAAACATCTGAGATCTAAGATCTCAAAAGCCTCAAAATTGCGTAGCCCATCTAGTCCCTATTACTTACATATCTCAATCCATACCCTCCATTCAGTGGCAATGCTTGCAGGAGGGCAGCAGGAGGAACTGCCGATGGCAAAAGCCTCAGAAGGCTCAGAATCTCTGGGACCCCAAACTGCACAAACCAGACAGCAGATGACAGCAGATGACAGCAGTGCTTTGGCATTAAGGTGAAGATGGTGAAGCCTTCGCAACTTGGGAAGGTGGTCGCGCCGCAGCTCTCAGAAGCCGCGCGAGTGCTGAGCCCAGCGTTTTCCGGTGCCATGGTTGAAACAGGCGGTCAGAAAACAGATCTTTGTGTTGCGAGGTTTATGGACCATGCTGGCAGAATCTTTCCTCCTTTGTGGGGAGATTCAGAGTGTCAGGGCCTTGGCCTTCTAAGGACGTTGCACACTACCGTACAGATTTCTTCCGGAATTATCCAGTGTGGGTGGCCGGTCTTGAACAAGCACCTGGGTGGGTGAGGAACCAAAAGAGAACAATTGGGGAGTTCTCTCTTTGATGGGTCAACTGCCAACTGTTTATAGTTGGTCCATCTTGGTCACAACTGCACACTCCTCAGCACTCTTTTGCACCTATCAGGCTCAGAAGTCTCTAAGACGTGCTCGACTTCTGCGTCGCAAGGTGCTTGCACCAACTTAGCTTGGGTTGGTTGTTGAACCCAAAGCTTACCGGGGCACCAAAGCTTATTCTACAACCACATTTGGAAACTTGTACCGATATCCATCCGATCAGTTGGGGCCATCAATGCCCGACCTAAACACCTAAACAGCTACAACTCCTTAGATGGTGAATTGCAACTACATTTCCAGTGTGCAGTGTCTACCCCTAGAACCAAAAAAACTGGGCCGACAACGGCAGGTTTGCTGCAGCTTCTTTAATCAGGAAAAATCAAAACCATCCAATCAGCATACATCACTAGATTGTATTATCAACATCCTTTGACTTTACACATTCTTCATTGGAATGAAATCTGCAGACATCACTGCGTGTTGCAGCTGCAAGGCCTCCAAAGTAGAGGAGCTCGGGACACGCAGGTGGCGCCTTTGGGGTGGAATTCATCGGTTCGTATATGGGTTATGTATGGCTAGGCCTCCTCTTTCTGTGGTGAAGTTGTTTCAACAATGTCCAGCGGCTGTAGATTTTATATGATTTTATATGATTTTAAAATATTCTAAACATGTTGAGGACTGTTCCAACTTGTCTTGTACATCAGTATGAGTTCATGCGCTGATAGATGTTGTTGAGAATGATTTGCCAGGAGCCAAATCCAGAAGGCTTCGAGTTGAAGAAACTGTGATTGACTGGTTTGGCCGGGCATGGCACGGACAGCTTGCAACATGGTGCAGCCCGAACCATGAGTATTGCAGATGCATTTCAATGATGAGCGAGCTGGATGGTAACCAGAAACAGGCAACTCATCCACCGTACTGTTCACGAACTTCAAGGAGTCTGAGGCTCAGCATGGCTCAGCAATCTCGGTTCGACTGGACCTTGCCATCGAAGCCTCCCGAGGCGTGAGCTGTCCCGAAGGGCAACGCTCATTGCGGAGAGGATTCAGAGCGGTGGTCCCAGACAACTTGGGACGATGGAAACTTGGAGAGAGGCGACAGGTGTTGAGAAATGTTGAGAAACAGCCAAAACATATTTTTGTTTGCTCAGGCTGTGATCTGGAGTCATCAAACAACCTGGTTTCTATACGTTTCTATCAGTTTTCTCCAAAATTATTGCAAGTCACACACTTGTGGAGCATGTTTGGCTCCATAGGCGGCAGCAAACCTATCTCGAAGCCTGCACTCTTGTTCGGCGCTTGGTCACGCAGACCACTGCAGTCCAAAAGCATCCAAAAGCGTTAAGTGGCCAAGAGATATCAATAAGTTCACCAGTCTTTGTAGCCCGTCCACTACTGGTTGTTTTTCAATGCTGACAGGTCAACTTTGCCACTTGTTTTCCATTTACCCCAATCCAGCTCACTCCCATTGCGAGTTCCTGTGCGATGTGTGAAAGTTCTTACTGAATCTTACTGAAATTTCAGAAATGTACTGAAGTCAGTTCATTTTGGCACCTCAGATTTCATGGATGGACAACTTGAGGAAACATATGGGTAGACTGTTGGCTCTGCCTCGTGCTGCTTGGCCGCAATGAGTTGAAATCGTCGGGATGAAGGGAGGGTCATGTGTAATGCCAAGTAGCACTTACTGTATTATACATGATCAAACATGTGGGTTTAGTCCAAAAAATGAGGGATATGGCAATTTCAATGGGGAAAGTGATGAACCTGGGATTTTGGGATTTGCTTTGTATATTTGCAGGCAGCAGACCCACTTCTTGATTGTGTCTAAGGCTCCTGGCCCGGAGCATCAAATTGGCCAGGGACTGAGTGCCCGTACTGTAGAAGTCATTCACCACTACCACACAAAAAACATTCGACAGATTTGTAGATGGTTTCTAAGTGTACTGAACAGCCTATGGGTCAGTTGGTTGCCCGGGCTTCATTCCACGTGCAGGTGCTGAGGAGCTTTTGGGTGAGTTGAAACGTAGCTTTGGCCTTTCTGAGCTGTGCGGGCCTGAGGCAGGTTCCCCACACACCTAGCATCACTTCATATTGCTTGATATCAGCTGAGCTTTCCTCACACTATTTCCATGTTCTGAATAAAGTGTTCACTTCGTGATGGGGTGCTGTTTGAGGTGCAGCGAGCGGCCAAAGGCACCGGGAAGGGCAGGTTGGGAGAAAGGTGTATCTGGTGCACAGAGAATCAGTGGTAATCCCTGACGGATGGTATCCTTTGACGTTCAGGCGCGGCAACGGCTACTTGGGCGCCTGCAGTCAGTTGTGAAGGACGGAGGTGGCTGAGCAGTCTTCACCGTGGCCAAGATGTGAACAGCCAACTAATTAAGTGATTGCTGCATTTGCCATATTTATACAACTTTAATAATCAATTTTATACCATTCTCTATTCGTACCTCTTAGACTCTTCACATTCGAAAAGCCCAACTCTGGTTGATCTTGGGCCATTGCCAAACTTTTTTCAGCCAAGTCCAGGTGGTCACTGGAATCTTCGCGCCGCCTTCGACTCGGAGCTTCCCTTGAAGGCAGCATGGACCTTGGGAAGGCCATGTTTCTGGCGACCACTGTGTATGGGTCGTGTAATGAACTCTCCAACATGTCTGATATTCAAATATATTTAAGGACATATATGAAAATTTAGATTCAACACATGCAAAAACGACAAATTTGATGGGTCCATTGGTAGGCCGCTTTTGGCTCCATTGAATCTGAATCCATACCTGTTTGTATTTGCATTTGCCAGGTTGTAAAGACACATATCATATCACAATAACCACTGCAGATGCGATGTAACGTTTCCGATGTGAAAGCTGCGTTTTCCCGGTGTAGCTTACGACTCACCACCATTGCACGTGGTACTATGACTTGTCAACCCCCTTTGGGTGCGGTCCAACCTCACTCCAGGTAGAGCTTTGCTCGGGCGAGGCCAAAACTGCGATTGTGGCATCAGTAGATTGAAGATTCAGGCAGACCTTGTTCTTTTGGAAGGAGCTGCCTTTGGATTGGGCTCCCCTGTCTCAGAAACTTTCGCACTCCGAAGTGGGACACTTATGCCAATGCTGAACCGCACTTTGTCAAATGGCCGCAGGGAGAGTGGGTTTGCGCTCAAGCCTCCAAAGATGATGAGACAGCCAATTGGGTTTGCGTCGAACACAGGCGGGACTTTGCTGGAAGTGTATCACGGGCCGTTCCGGGCATTTTCAACCCTTCAAGTTTTGAAAGTCAGAGCTCCGAGGGAAAGCAATCCCAGTTTCACTGCCTGCGGTAGGCGGGATCGTGTATTCCGCACGTTTTCTCGGAGCTTGTTGACCAATGCGTGGATCCCAACAGAAGCTGTGCAGCCAATCAAATATCATCAGTTTACATCGGAACATACGCATAATTGATCAAATTTGCACAGAAAGTGCTTCTTCGAACGTTTTGTCTGAAAATCGCCAAGGTGTCCAACCTCTGCTTTGTGGCTGGTGATGCTGCGCTGCTGTTGCGCCAGTTTGGTTCTCTGCGGGTCTAACAATCTTTTTGATCCTTCATGCATTTTCACGGCTTCACGGCTTCATTGATGCTCTTCAGGGACTTTGTCTGACTGCATGTGCCAAGGTTGGCCCCTCGTTCTGTGGATCATATCTTTGTTTGGGGGGCCCAGAAACCGAGGATCACCAAGCATCTACGGGAAACCTTTCCCTTGTGTTCACCCAAACGATTCCGGTGGTCTGTGGCATGTTGGCCCCCGGAAAAGAGGACGAGTTCTGTGCCTACGAATTCGGTTGCACAATTTCTTGCAAAACTCGTTAACGGCCTTTCACATCAGGCCCTGAACATGGAACACACCTTTTCACCAGTATGTGGTTAGTCGGTTAGTCAAAACGGTCCAAACATATACTGGTGGACCATACAATTATATATATACAACTATATATATATATACAATTATATATATATATACAACTATATATATATATACAATTATATATATATAATTATATATATAAAATTATATAAACATATATAAACAACATGTTGTTTTAAGGTAGATATCAACGTAACTATAACGTAACTACTAAGCTTTAGTCGCTTGTGGAGTCCCATCCCGGGGCTCCATGACAGGTGAACTTTCCAGAGCCGCCCGTGCGGCGTGGCCTGGGTGATGCGGAAGGTGGATGCCCTGTGTCTGAACATTGATAATCCTGATTTATCATGATTTATCCCAGTTTTTCATGGTCAATGAAGAAAATGATGATAAGCCATTGGAATTAATTGGGGATAGCCTACGAACAAACCCATATTTTGGAGTATGATTATAATAAAGGAATTCGAAGATTTTCGGATGTGTGTTTTGATAGCCACATGACACATGGCAAGGTGATGATGGTGACGCAGCGGTTGACGCCCCACATTTGCTCACCGTTTGGCTGCTGAGCAGCTCCAGTTGGAGGGTTTGGATGTGACTGCGATGAAAGTTCAACTTATCGATGGGCGTGTCGGAGGACCATGTGTTCCCCCTCTGCTCCTTTGTGCGTAAGAGATGCAAACAATCAATCACTTCTCTCTGAAGATTGCGAACAATCGATCATAGAAGTATCCTTTGTGTGTTGTAAAGCAATGAAAGACGCCCACGCCACAGCATGTGGCCCCGATTGGTTGGGTGGCGAGTTGAATCAAGGGTGCCCTTTGTTGAATTTCAGATAGTCTGGAGATCTCCAATAAACAACAAACCTAAGCCTTAGCAAATGCTTCAAATGATCCAATTCCTCGAAGAGTACAAACCTTTTGTACGTGTTGAGCAAGAGTGAAGTCATATTGGGTTGTACAGTGCCCAAACGGCCAAAGGTTTATGTTGGACTGCAAGAGCATGGTTCATGAAAAAGCTATGATGGTCATGTGTGGGCGCTACAATCCAGACAAATGGTTCCTCTCATTCATGAACTAGATTAGATGATATTAGATGGATGTCCAGTTTATCATAGCCAGTGTGGCCCTACCAACAGATTGCACAACTCATATATGGGGATGAATCAACGTTTCTTACACCATATTTAAATAAATTTAATCGGAATGAACAGCCATTTACCAGCTACTTTGATTTTGACAAGGGTACGAGGGCTTTGACACACACACACAGTCATATTAAAATTTTCATATGGTTTTGTCACTTCCAAGGCGGAGACGTTCAGAGCTATGCACCGTGTCATGCAGCGGGATGGCACATTGCTGGTGCATTCAGACAACGCCGGGTGCCATGGGGGGCGAAATCCATGGCGAAACATTGCGAAACTATGATTTTTACATATTTTTACATATTGCCATCCGGTATAATGAAATGTGATGGAAATCCATGAGCATCCCCAGATGGAGGTTTTAACGAGAAACTCATCTATAAATCCGTTGCCACGCTTGATTACTGGAGGGCAATAGTCACAGTCTTTGACACCTTTGGAGAACACAGAGTTGCAGAATTCTTCAGTACACGATGGACCTTTAAGGCTTACAACTCTCCAGTCCCTTGGCTGTACAGTCCTGGTGACCCATCGAGGTCACCTATCTCCGACAACTGGCTGTTTCCCTCTCTTCTTTGGACAGCTTTGAGAATGCCCAGTACTGAAGACTTGACTGACACCATTGAAAGTGCAGTTTCTATGTGACCGCTTAGGGCTAGAATTTGCTTTGGATATGTTTTGGTGTAAACCAATATGCAACTACACTTCTGGTACATGAATCAGGAGGGGCGCAGTAAGTCGCAGTGTTTCCACACCTTCAGGTGAATGTCAGCGACGGTGCTGTCCGTGATCGCCACATCCTGAACTCCCTGCAAGCAGATACTTCCAGCAAACCGCAAGCACTATGAGGTCCTGGATCCAGTGGCGAACCCTCTGTGGCTGCCGGGGGCCTTGGAATATTGAACTTCTTGAACCAGAGAAACCCAAGTTCCTGTGCTCCATTCAAAGATCCTGTTTGTCCAAGTATCCTATCCATGAATTGCAACACAGATACCATACATATACTAAATATACCAACAACATCCAACAACAATCCACTGATTTTGGTCAAATTTTAGTATCATGGACTATCCAATTGGAGGTTTCCCATGATTTGGGTGCCCCAGTCCTCATCCCAGTCATTAGACCATGGCGCCATGGTAGGTCTGGCGAGGACGCCCTGGGATTGCTGCTGGAGTGGTGGATCCTGAGGCCGGGAAAATGGATGATTTGGAGGTAAACCCGTGACTTAGGAAACCTCCATATAGATCCTTATAGATAAATCATCTGACACATAGATAGTTTTTATTTACTGGCTTACTTGTTCAATTACTGTAGCAGAGGGTATAGGGTGGAAGATGGTCAACTGATGTCAATTGAGTTGTTTCATCAGTGTTTCATCCAGTTGCTGCTGATTTTGAGAGGCTTCCTCATACTTCGATCGGCTCTGGAGCCATGGGCGCTTCACCAAGCGCTATTTCATTTTGGTTTCTGCGGTGAAAAGGGTGGAACAGACCAAGGAGCTTGCAGTGTTTAATATATTTATATGCGCCTCGAACATCTTTGACGTTCTAAGATTTTCGACACATTTTGACACTACCTTGGCAGATGCATGTTGGCAAAGTATGAAGGACCTGGGGTGAGCTTGACACTTGCACCACAGACGCCACATAGCTTTGCTACCTGATGAAAGCTACAATACCAAACCTTCCAGACTGTGGACGACTTGTGCATGACAGAGCATAGCGAGTCAACACGCAGATTTGATGTTGCAGGCCATTGATTCGACTCTGCTTCTCCACACATTGTGACCCTGACCCTGCTGCATTTTTTGATCCAGTCCATCAATTGCATCCCTTATGGACTTGTCAAGAGAAGCATGATATTTTGCCCAATCATTCCCAACGAGCTTAGCTACAAACTTTTTTTTGATCGTTTTCGTAGCTTGTGGCAATTCAACGGGCACTGTTGTTGGAACAGGTTGATTAAGCCCAGTGAAGAGTCAACATGCAGTTATGAGGAATCGAATGTAGAGTAATTATAGAACTGCAGCCTGCGCAGTTCATGCAGCGTGGCAATACTGGAAACTGGAGAGTTTGGCACTAGGGCTGGGCCCAAGTCGCGATTTCACCATGAAACATGAATGTGACATAGATTGTATACAGTGCAGCGAATTGCTGTTCAGCAACTGCGTTTTTCAATCTTCAGATACCGAACTGATGAGGAACAATCAAATTGCCAAGGAGCCAGATGAGCCAGCTGGTGAGTTTTTGCTAGTGTGATGGAGTTACTGAATAGCGTTGGTACAGCACAGGTCTTGTACCTGCCGAGTTCAGCGCCGCTGAAACCCTAGGCCACTCTTTCTTTCGATTGAATAGTGTTTTCTTCCCTTGCCAAGAAGCTCAAGCACGGCAAAGCACTTTGGTGCGCCAAGTTTGGCCATGCTTGCGAAAACTGTTTGAGCCATGGCGGAAGAAATTCTGGATGCAGCCACGAGCAGACTTCTGATGAAGAAGACATGGTGTCATGGTCAGGTAGTTGCCGCTTTCCAAGGTGTATTGCACCTGGGTGCTGGTTTGGGATTTAATTTCATTGTAAGCCAGACGAACCCCAATCCACACCTAGGAACCGATGGGCCAACCCCCATAATGGCAGGGCCCCCATAAAGCCATGGCAGGATGTGCATCCACCAGCTATTTGGGTGCTAAAACCCAGGTACTTTGCCTGGGGATATGAGAGCACGGACTTATCAAATACCTGGAGAGCGCTCCTCACGTCTAGCATTCTCCTCCTTCCAATCTGGAGTATTGTAAGCTGGAGGTCGATGCAGGGTCGCAGGGCGTATTATGCATGGATTATTTTGGCATTTGGAACCATCCTCCTTGTGTTTTATGCAGCGGTCATTTGGGTTGCGCTGGAAGATGATCATCCGTACCAGCTGGGCTTGGTGATTCTCACTGCTCTTCAGTGCATGGAAACATCAGCATATTTGGTGGTTGTTGCATGTTTAAAGGAAAGCCTCGAAGAAGACGACTCCGATGTACAGTACAGCCTTTTTTGAGGACTTTCCATCTTGGCTCACCTCAGCTGCGTGTGAGAAATGTGGAGCCCCAGCGCTGTATCACTGTCGAGGATGAGTGATGACTGGTACAGCTCAGTTTGTATCCAGCAGACACTGAATGATTTGTAGGGAAATTCTGGATTTTCTGTGTTTTCTGTGACTTGGTGGGAATGGCGTGAAGGAGCAGAAAAAGAGTACTCACGGATACTCACGGATTCCTTCCATCCATGCATCATGGGTGTTCAAACAATAAGCGAATTAAGTTCTTTCACGAGACTCTAGAGTATATCATTTGGTTGAACTGGTATCAATTTCCCATTTCCCATACATCACAGCACCTTGTACTGGTACTGAGGTTGTTCTCGCCTGTGGATCTACCTAGAACCCCAAACAACTGGAAATCATGTGTTGTGTCATTGTGGTCATGAGGATTCCCTTTTTATATATATGTATATATATATACACATCAGAGTTTGTCATTTGAAGCATGGCTCAGCAGACATTAGGCCCTGAATGACAACACATTGATTTATATTGATTTGCCGAGAACTGGATCAGAATGGGCGTCAGCCAGGCGCGCATGCGACGCCTGAAATGAACAAGTCAAGACAGCAAGCAGGATTCGGGTAGTTTTGGAAGATTTTGATAGATTTGGACGGATTCACAGCAGTCATGGCCGTCATGGCTCCTCTGTTTGCCTTGGCTCTCATCTGGCCCGTGGCTGCTGAGAACTGCGTCGATTCACCTGAGGCTGGTGGATGGCTTTGGGATTGTGGATGCTGCGAGAATAAAACTGATCAATCCTGGTCAGATCAGAAAATGGAACTATCTGATTTCATCTATACTTATCTTATGAAGAAAAAACACGTCTTCTCTTGACAGATGATGATATTGGTGGAAACTCATCCCTTGAACAGCTAGCTTTGAGTCCAAGTCGGGACTGAGCCGAAATGTATCCAGGGGTGGTGTCTGCAAGAGTACGCAGACACATACCCACGATCATATGCTCTTTGTGTCAATTGTTTCCACAACCTGTGCCAGCAATCTCATACACACTTCCAACGCATTCTGGCAAGGTTGGTCTACTACAAACCCAGGTGGGTCTTCCGCAAGGTTTGAGTTCACTGGACTTGGCACGAGCGAAGAAGATCGTTCCAGGGCCTCAATTCTTAGCAGCACATTCAGGCCCCATTTGTGCCGAGACTAATTCTCCTTTAATCTTTAGGCATATTTAGGCATGAGGCTCCAACCGAGCATATTTTGACCAAGCTGTTGTATTCAATCCAATCTTATCCTGAAAGTCGAAACGAACATACTGCAACTGATTGGATCTTGGTTCAAAGCAGAGGTCCTTTGACTTGTTTGGATACGGGGTGGCTCAGCCAGAATTCTGGCTACTGTAGAAGGTGCTTTTAAGATCTTTTAAGACAGGTCTCAGACAACAAATGCAACGTCTACACATGTCGACACAATGGACAATGAACATGATCTTCCATGCTATTTTTAAAGGGCTTGACTTTTCGATGGCGAAGCTCTCCGGAATATGACGCAGGACACTCCAATGAGCTCTTGAACAAGCACCTGCTGCGAATCAGTGCGGGTAAAGCCAAGAGATGCGAGGTACTCCCCCGGTGAACTCCGTCAGAAGACACTGTGGTGATTCTCTTTGTGAAATGATGAGAAATGTATGACTGACCACTGAAGAAGTTAGTCCTATTGAACATGCTCTGACCCAAAGAGATTGCATCTTCTTGCTGGAAGATGTTGAGTGAGTATACCATTCATCACAATTTTTACACCAAAGTGAGGTAAGTTTGTCAACCATTGAGCTTGTTTTCCAAAACACGGTTCTGGGCAGTTATCTATATTATATGGGTCAGATTTATCTCCCCTCCAAACGCATACAGAAGTGACTTGACCCGTAGCATAGCCACATCATTCAGCCACGTCATTCAGCTCTGTGGCAGGACTTCGCCCATCACGAGCTGGATGGCGTTTTGGACATCATCGCTGCCAAGGCCCCTGGAGATAGCTCTGTGGCTCAAAACAGCAGCAGAAAAAGACAGACTACATGATATGCCCGAATAGATCATGCACATTGTTGTTGTTGATGTCGATGTTGTTGATGATGATGATGACGACGACGACGACGATGATGATGATGATGACGAAGAAGAAGGTGAAGATGAAAATGGAGGAGGAGGAGGAGGGGATGAGGTGATGATGAAGAAAAGGATAGAGCCTGGATTTCCAAGCAGCCACGGGAGCACTTCAAACATGCAACACCTCTTTGGATGGTCAAATCTAAGCTGCAAAGATCATACCAGACCACTTGGTTTGGAGGGGATGCTCTGCAGAAGACATTGGATAGAACCAGTAGAGACTGGCTGACCGTACATCACTCGCGCACCAAAGCAGCCCTCAAAAGCCACCAGGCACATGACGTGTTGCAGGGCATCTACGAGACCAATCAACATCCAGGAGGTGATGAGACTTGGAGAGATCCACGTGGAAGAGAAGGGGCTTCCTTGGGTGACACTGCGGAGCTTGACTTGCTGGAATCCAAAATCCCTGCCGATCTCTTGGACATGGCCAAGGCTGCGTTTTGGAAAAAAAGCAGCGCCACTCTTTGCCAGACTTGTTTGGTCAAGAATGCTTCAAGACCATGCTACATGTACACAGCCGAATACACATTTTTTTTTTCAAGCCTTTCTTCGCCAAATTCACATATGCAGCATTTTGCAGAACCAAAAAAGGTGAAATCACAGGTTGTTGTGCATTCTATCCTTCACAGAAGTAAAAATTGCAGTTGGAGAAGAAGTGCTATGATGCCGCGATGGCTTTCACCCACAGCGTGCCTGACAAAGACAAGAAGGACATGGTTGGCTGAACATGTAGGAATATGTAGGAAAATCACAGTCGTTCTTGATTCTCTTGGACATTGTGGCTCTATTTCTGGTTGGTGGTTTCAAACATTTTTTATTTTCCATAATATATGGGATAATCCTTCCCATTGACTAATATTTTTCAAGATGGTTAAAACCACCAACCAGATTTCCTTTCGTTCAATTTTTAGTAGCGACCCTGAAGGAAATTCTGATCAACCACCTTGTTCCCTTGCTACCTGTACGGCCTGTGCATGAGACAAACTCTCTTTTGCAACAGGGCGCTGCTCTAGCAGATGGGAAAAAGATCTTTGACGCTTGGCGAGGGAAAACTATGTGGACATGGTCAGCATGAGCCCTAGGAATGGATCTCCCAACTGTACAGCTGGAAGTAGATGGTTTTACAGCTTCATTTGGGGTGGTCACCTATGCTTTCCAAGTCTTGATGCCGCGCTCACATCGAAGTGTTGAGAGGTATGCTGGGTTTTGTTGGCATTTTTTGTCCTTGAGCCATGCAGATGTACGCAGGCATCCTATCTTTTTTTTGGGATTTAAGGGACTACCAAGTGTGGGATACACACGGCAATGAAACAAGACATTTGTTCCGAAGACTTCGGTATGGTGTGACTCATTGTGACTGTGCCGAAATTTAAAGCTGAAGGATGCTGAAGGCACTATTCTGTCTTGAGTTCTAAATCGCGATACATCTGTGCTTGTCCTTCTGCACAGGATTCTGCGTGTGCAAATTGTCACAGCGGTGGCGTGGACGCCCTTGAGACCTTTAAGGACAACGTGGACATCGTGACCAACGGCAAGGGCTCAATGCCTGCCTCTGCCGACAAGTTGTCCAAGAAGGAGATTGAGGAGGTCGCGCAATATGTCATGGATCAAAGTGAAAAGGGTTGGTGACCGCGCAATATGTCAATGTCCAACGGATCACCACAAGGAGCCTTCAAGGAGATACAAAAAGACGAAAGGACGAAGAACAAAAGAGGTTCAGGTTAGGGGAGGCCAAAGCGTCACCCAGTTTCACTTGATCTTTTCAGTCTAGATGGGTATGTGCCGAAACAGCAAGTGCTCAAGGCGATTTGAATTTTCTTTCTCAATGACAGATTGGTTGGTTTAGATTCATTTCAGGCACGCCCAGACTGCAGATTCTCTGGTTCTCTCCTCCATGTATTCACTTGGGGTTGAAGCCGAGCAAGCCAGTCTGCATTTGCTGCACTTGCAAAACTTCTGATGCGGTCTGGTGCGACTTCAAAATGCGAGTGGCAAAAGCTAAATAGGTGAGATTGTATTTGACTTGGTTCAGAGGCAGTTTCCCAAGCCAAGTCAGGCTAGAAATCAGGGGCATTGTTTAAACTTACTGAAGCCTAGCAGGCTTCACATTTCTGTTGTGCATTCTGTCTGGATAGAGTTTAGGGCATCAATCTGCTATAATGATCAATAAATTCTATTTTTTCCGCTTTATTTTGTCTCTTGGATGTAAGGCCCCGTGGTCCACTGAGGCGTTTTATGGCCTGCAGCTCTTCCTGTGGTGCGAGGCAGCAGATCTTTAGAGTCTTGCTTCCAAATCCATGAATATAATATACGAGAACACCATGAAACACGGCAACTCTGGATCCACACAATTGGTCATTTTTATTCATTTTTCATTTACATCGACCATCCATTTTGGAGGTTGATCATTTTGACCCATTTGGCCTTGGAGCTTCGTTGCCCATACCGTGGCCTGCAAGGTCCCGTGTGGCACCTACAGCTGCTGAAGGAGTCCATCCCACACTTTGGAAATCATAGTGGGGATGGGTCAAAACCTCTAAAATTTTCTAAATGATCTATAATTTTTATGGAATTCCTCAGAAAATCATTGAAGGATCACAACTTTCCGTAAATTTCTGAGGATGAACATCCTCAAATCCCAGCTCTTTTGGGCGAACAGAAGGGCATCCCGGTAATTTGTTTGGGCCGTGTCCTTTCTAGGGACATTGGAGTCGAGCCTGGGATCTATGCTGGGGTCATAGCAGCACCGACTTTTGCCAACTTTGGCTCTCATGTGGAGCGGATGGGTACGAGTCATCAAAAGTGACTGTTCTAGGCATCATCAGCATACTTGGCAGACTTACCACGGGCAAAAGTAGTTGGTTGGAGAAAGCTGTTATGTAAAGCTTCCAACTTCAGCAGACACAAAAGCTGCAGGCTTGTTTTCATTTGAAGAACTGGATTTGCCATGCCCAAACCCAAGCTGTCGCACCTAGCATATTTTCATCGAACTCCCCAGTTCCAACACGCAGACACGTTTCCAATGGCGGCAAGCCACAAGCGTCATGGTGCATCTCTCGGAGTCTTGCTGCTCCTTGCTGTGGCAACTTGGTTCATTTTTGAGAGGGGGCCAGTGGGTTCGTTTTGTTTTCTCAAGTGTTCTTAGACAATCTTAGACAATTAGACCTAGCTCAAAACCAAATCTAAAAGTCTAAAACTTACATGTGCTTGTCCCAGCCTTTCAGCAAGTTGCCTACAGGCAGCGCTTCATCTGTGCCCTGAAAGGATCTGAAAGGTAGATTCCTTCAAGCCGAACATGAGAACTCAGTAGCAAAATGGCTTCAACTAGCATGGGGCAAATCGGAAAGCCCCAAAGCCGTGCTGAGGGTTCATGGACCTTACGGGCCTTTACTTTGCCTGGAACACTCTTTGGACGCTTGAAGGACTGCTGGTCATCGCTTGGCCCAAGTTCATTTTGGCCCACTGTTTTGTCACAAGAAGGAACTGCGGGAGCAGCACAAGCCTGGAGCAAACTTGAGAAGGGAATCATAAGATCTGAATCTGAACCAATCTGAACCGTGCATTTTGTTGAGGTTCGCAGTTGTCACCTGTGCGCAAGGAGTCTCGGTCCAAGGAGCTGTTTGATTCCCTGCCACGACGTCAACTTCTTGGCACTGCCGTCGCTACTGTGCTGGCACCCGCTGGAGTGAAAGCTGAAACGCCAGCGCTGAAGGTGGTGCCTTGCTTCAAGAATAGGTGGATGTGGTCAGGTTTTGGAGCAAACAGCTCAGATAGAGGTCCAATCCACGTCTTTGGAGAAATCAAAGCAGTACAGCAGAGATGTCAGGCTGGATACAGATTGATTGGAGCGCTAAGGCTGGGTCTTCAAAGGCAATGCCTGCCATTGGCTATGGCACGTGTTGTCGCCCTGGAGCTAGGGGTGAGGACTCTCGGAAAGACATGAGTGAGTAACCACGTATGGATGGTTCATTGATTTACTGTTTTACTTGTATATATGGGATAGCAGCCACCGTTTCCTGAACATTTCAACATATTTCATATTTCAACATATTTCAACATATTTCAACTCGAAAACAAGTCTTATTCCAGACCCACACCTTTTTCAGCGATTCAGGAGTTGGTGGAAGGTGTGAAAGCTTATCTCTCTGCTGGTGGGAGGCTGGACCCTGCGATGGATGGCATGGGCTAGCGGCTAGCGGGAGGATAGACATGGTGAAGATCCTTACGCCGCACAAAACGTTGCCAGGCTCATAGACACTGCGCAGATCTATGGAAATCACGAGGATATTGCTGAGGCTGCAATCGGCTGCAACTTCCAAAAGTTGAACTGTGTCGAACATGTCGAAACTGTATCGCTGTGAGGGTTTCGCACTCGTATCTATCTAGGCAGAATCTGAAAGCAAATGTCGTGCCATACACATCCAAGGTGTTCATTGAGAATCGCTCCTGTCACAATATTTTCACATTTTTCGGAAGGGCAATTTTTTGAGTTTGTGCTGCACGTGGATCACAGCAATTGGCAGTCAAAGAACAAACAAGAGAGTCTGCTTGAGCTGAAGCTATCTTCAAAGATCTTATTTACAAATTCTTTGACAAAGACCATACTTAGCATTCATAATTCATATATATAATCCTCTCCAAACATCATCAAACATGAATTATATCTGTGGTAGTGCGGGAAGCTCTAAGTACCCTACTGCATTCCTTTTCAAATCGAGCAGTGTAAAAAGTTTCGCTTGTTGGGCATTTGCCTTGTGCGCAAGGATGACACGCATCAAACCATTGGTGCGCTGTTGCTATGGCTCAAGAAAAGTAGCGCCTTCGCTGCTTTGGGATTTGCAGGTTATGGGCCGGTGGTCGAAGTTGGTGCAGAAGCTTCGGAGGGTAGTCGTCATCATGGTGGAGTGGTGGCGCCTGCTGGGAATGAAGCCGATGTTGGAGCCCTGCTTCCTCTTCAACTTGCCCAGGACATGCCTGCTCCAGATGGTCTCTTAGAACCGTTGTTCCATAACTTGAGAACAGTGGAGGTTGGCGCTGTGCCTACGCATAGAATGGACGTGGGGGACAGCTCTTGCTCTACGGTGCTTGGTGGCCGAGATCAAGGACTGCAAATGGAACTACCTGATGGTGCTGACCGACTGCAAGGTTCGGGACACCGTGACTGTTAGCGCATGCCTAGGGAAGCTGACGGCCCGTTTGGTCGTAATGGGGGTTCCTTCCCTGCTGATGGATTGACGGTCCCTCAAGGAGTCAATGCCTTTTGGAGTCCAGAGGTGAGGCAAGCAGCGATTGTGGAACAGTCTGCAAATGTCTCTCGTCCCCAAGGACTTCCTCCATCGGCGGCCTTATGGAGGTGCTGGTCTTCCTCAACTTGGAGATGTGGCTCGCGCTTCGGGCCCTGTGCAGGCCTCTCCTTGTAACTCTGGCCATGTGTAGGCCCTTAAGGAGGAGTTTGTCAACAAGTGGGCGCTGTGCAGGCCCCTACATCTGCTTTGGGTGCTGGCCTTGAGCAGGCCCTTGGTGATGGTGCTCTACCGCAGCCCTCACCGGAGAAGAACTTGGAGGAGCTGAGTCCTCGCATCGTGCGCGGGGCTGAGGAGAACTTCGTGCGGGAAGCCAAAAAGCTGAGAGGTGATGAAGGTGAAGGAGAAGTTCGGTCTTATCACATTGTGCCAAGTGGCCAAGAGCCCTCAGGTGGAATGGTTCCCCCAATGCCGTTGTTGCAGAGACCTTCAACTTCGCCTCATCAACTGGTGGTCAGAAGTGATTAGCTTGGTTCTCTTCAACATGTAGTACCTCATCAAGCTTCAATGACTGACGCTGGGAATGGTGTGCATCAACGTGGAGCTGCAGCAGCTGATCAAGGCATGGGTGTGAGATGGGGACAGCCCGCGTCCCCTGCCACTGGGAACTCGCCTGGAATTCCAGCTTCGGAATGGGTGGCCTATGGACAGCCTCAAAGTTTTGGAGGTCATGGACCGATGCTGAATCCTCAGGGGTCCACAGCTGGATTGATGGGTCAAGCTCAACATCAGGGTGGAGTGGGTTTATGAGGCATTGCAACTCCTTTGGATGGACTTGGAGGAGAAGCTCATCGCACACGGGGTACCAGTGGCTGCGTCGCTGGTGACGCCTCCTGGCCTTGGTGGACCTGACCAACAGCCTTCAGGCAGCGGCTGAACCTTTGCGGAGCTCTTCCACTTCTTCCTCAACTGGCTCTGAGCAGTCGGCTTTACAGTTTGGAGATTGGATCACAGTTGCTACGCCCATGATTGGTGATGTGGCCAGTTCGGCGCGTGGATGGTGGCTTGAGATCTTGCGAGAGGTTGCCGCGTTGTATGGTCGATGGTTGACTTCAACACCACTTGAACGAACCCGTTTACGTCCTGTACAAGTTCAACGTTCTGAATCCCATCTACGTTTGGAGCAGCGTGTGGTTCCAATGCTTTTGAAATGCACCCCTGAGGTCATCAAGCAGGACCTCATTGCCAGTCGCGCCATGACGGTGACCGGCATCATGTACCGGTTGTGGACCATTTTCCAGCCAGGTGGAAGCTCAGAACGAGTGAGCATCCTGCGACAGCTGACGGAGCCCAAGGTGACTGGTAGTGCATCGGATCTACTGGCTGGACTTCGACGTTGGAGGAGGCTGATGAGCCGATCGATTGAGCTGAACCTCGCCCTGCCTGACTCAATCATCTTGGGTGGTGTGCTGCATCGCTTTGCTGACGCCCTTGGGATGCTTGGTGGAACTCAGTTGTCCTACCGGGTGGCATCGGTGAGACAGGGGTTGGCGGTGAATGTGCGTCCGGTGGCACTGTCGATCGAGCAGTATGCGGAGTATCTCCAATTTGAAGCTGCAGAGTTGAGTCTTGGTGTTGGCCCCAAGACCACCGAGCAGTTGGATGGTCTTCGCAGTGCAGGTCGTCAATATGACCCATTTCCTTCAAGCCTCAAGGAGACCATGGACGCATCAAGGGACTGGGCAGCATTGGGCACCTGGTCTTGTAGCTGCCTTGAAAAAGGCTTTGCAGGTGCATCTTTGTGAGCGAGATCGTCGTCTGAAGCTTGTCGCCATCTCAAGAAGTTGAATGTGGAGGATTGGAAGAAGCATGTCCGAGCTCAACACCAACCTTATAGAAGAGATTGCAGGTGATGCTTGGAGCTGGCGGGTGTTGATAGCCCTCATCGGCGATCTCACGCTGACAGTTCTGCCTGCGTCCTCTCCATTGGCTTGGTGGGTCCCTATCCGATTGGCCGTGATGATGGTCGGAGGAGAAAAGGAAAATACACATCATGGTGGCTACACTTCCCCTTCCCCTTTTTGGAGCGCTCAGGTGATTAGGAGGTGGAAGCGGAACAGAAGGGCGATGAGGTGAATCCGTCTGAATCAGAAGCCAAAGAGCCCCACATGGAGGTGATCAACATGAAGTCCATTCGGCACGTCAATCTCCGGATGAAGGGCTTGTGCTGGATGATGAGGAGGAGAATCCTGAGGTTGAGATGGTTCATGAGAAGGATGTGAAGGGCCTAAACCAAGAATGGCTCAACTATGTGGAGGGTCTTAAGACCAGTTGGACTTCGGAACGTCACCATTGTGGAGGTGCTGGAGTCAAGGCAAGTTGCCCATATCGTGGAGGCCACTATAGCCGGGTCTATGGCAGATTCAAAGCTCTTGGAGTCCCAATTTTGAGGGTCCACACTGACCGGGAGAAATCCTTCCTCTCAAAACCATTTCAACGATGGTGCTCTGATCACTCTCTCTACCAGACCATGACTGCTGGAGATGATGTCGAGGCCGAAGTTGGCCAGATCAAGCTACATTTACATCAAAGCTGACTGTCCAAGATTGGCTGGGAGCTGCACGTTGGGCTGGAGAAGAGCGACTTCGAGCCCAATTTCAGAAGCTGGAAGTTCCTTCGAAGCCGATGGTTCCTCTGGGAGAAAGGGTGGTGGTGAAGGCCAAATGATGGCACAAAAAGGGGCCTCTTGCTGCTCCGTTCAAATCTATGGTTTTGATGGGCCCAAGCCCTACTATGACCAATGGTTGGGTACTGCGATAAGGAAGATGGTTCAGCATGCCCGGGCAGTGGTGTCTCCAGCCTCTGCAGGTGAAAAAGCGGTGATGGAGCTCTATGAAGCCACTACAAGGAGATTGACTGGGAAGCAGCCTCTCCATTTGGAGGGCCGCAAGATCAAGGAGCCAGCACAGCATGATGATCTACCTCAACTTCTTCGAGAAGACTTGCGCGTGGCTGATGACTCTCACAATGTGTGGGGGCAGTTGGCAGGTGAAGATCCGGAGGAGGATGTGGAAAGCTTGGCATACTCTCCTGACGACGGTCTACCCTTGGATGAAGCTGTTGTGGAATTGCGGGCAGGTATTGCAGAACACTGCTTTGTTCAAATGTGATGGTTTTGGACTTTTGCAACCCAATTTTGGCTCTTGAGACTTCTGTGGTGATCGGGGGGCAAGTTCAACGCCCTTGGGTATAACTTCACAGTCGGGCTCGCATCGAGCACTTGCAGGGTCTTTTACAGCGTCGAGCTCAAAGTCCTTGAGTATGACTCCACAGTTGGGCTTGCATGGAGCACCGGCAGGGCCTTTTGCAGCTTCTGGCATGGATCGGACGGCAACCTCATGCGATGTGGCATCCAACATGATCTCTGGTGTTGGACTGGCAGGGTTAGAATCAGTGCCTGTGAAGGTGGCGGCTATGGCTTGCGTGGTGTTTTCCACATGGGGCATCCGAGGTCGTCGAGCAGCAGACCCTATCGATGGAAGCAGTGCGGGGATCAACAAGCTCCTGTACGTCTTCTGAGGATGAACATGGCCTTGGTGAACGCACATGGGACTATGTGGAAGTTGAGAACCCTGGCGAGCTGATCGAGACTTTGAGAAGGGAGCATAGGGGGTGGAAGCGGCTGTGGAACGAAGAGCTGGCGAAGGAAGCTGTGGGTGCTGTTGAGGGTGGAATCCATGGCCAGTGGCTCCAATATCTTGAGTCGCAAGTCCGGTCGTTGGAGGAGGAGTTGGTCATGGTGGACGGCTTCCATCAAGAAGCTATCAACAGCAGGCCGGCGTCTTTGGCAGCTGCACCTGGTGGAGATGATGCTGAACCAGTCTCCACATACAGCACAACTCAGAGCAGTCTTGCAAACCTACATGGTGTCTTTGGCGGAGGTCAAGCGGGACATTGATTTGTGGAAGGAACCGTTGGAGGCAGAGCTGCAAGCCCTGGTTCAATCTGGCACCATTCGTCGGGCGAGAGCCGATCAAGTTCCTCAGGAGTCGGGCTACGACTACATGACGGTCGCGCCTGCCAAGATGGTTCCAACCATCAAATCACCTGTTGGGAAAAGAATATCCGCATAGTTCTTTGTGGAAATCTTGTCCGACCCGCAGATCATGCCAAACCTGTTGACGCTGGAGTTCAGGCCATGGTGATCTACGACCGGGAGTTGATGAAGGAGCTGGAGGTTCAACGCCTCCAGATAGCTTGGAACGTAGTTCCGGGGGAGCCCCCTGATCAAACTGATCTGTATGCTGGTGGCATCGACTCTACGGCCCTGAGGTGCACCTTGCGGAAACTGACGTGGGGGATGCCTTCTTGCTTGTTCCCAGGTCGCAACAGCGACGACCTCTTCTGGTGATTGAGCCACCTCGACTTCTGACTTCAACTGGACTGATCCCGATGGATGAGCGCTGGATTTGCGATGGAGATATGTAAATGGCTTGGATACATCGCTGGCCGACTGGGCCACATACCGGGATCATCGAATGGTAGGCTTCCAATGGGAAACTGCTACACATCGGTGTCACTTGGTTCGCTCTCCAGAGCCCAAAATCTGGTCCATCATGGGCGTCTCAAAGAAAGACTTTCCGGAGCCACAACTCAACGATGATGCCTACGCGGTGCCATGTGGCTTTCCCCTGGTCTATGTGGACGACATCCTATGTGTGGGGCCACAACCAATGGTTGAAGCTACTCTGGCTAGAGTGAAGTTGGAGTGGACTTGCTCTGACGTCGAATGGGTGACAGGAGCGATGGCTTAAGTTTTGTGGCATGCAGCTGAGGTGGAGGGGTGACTCTTTGCTCTTGGGCCAACCAGACTTTGCTTGAGAGATGCTGGAGCGACATGGACCACTTCAAGGTCGACAGTTTCCGTTGCCCAAGGTTGACAAGGAACCTGAGGAAACGATCGACCCTGCCGATGTGAAGAAACTCCAACAGCTGATGGGTGAACTACTCAGGCTGTCGAGCCGAACAAAGCCTGACTTGGCGCATGCTGTGGCCCTCTTGTCAGGTCTGGTGACCACATGTCCTCGGCGAGTGCAGCAATTGGCCGCACACGTCTTGTGATATGTCCAGGAGACTGTGGACTACGCATTGGTGTATGGAGCATGCGGCACTACCTCTGAGGAGCGCAAGGTGGCTTTGATGAATGTCACGATTCTCTCTTATGCTTCTCACGCTCCACAAGGTCTTCGAGGACATCAAGGCCTTTTGGCTTTGTGGGGAAACGCCCTGGTTCGATGGGAGTCGAAGAAGCAGCCCTTTGCAGCTTTGAGCAGCACCGAATCGGAGGTTATTGGCTATGTTGACGCTGTGACGATAGGTGAGTCCTTGCAGGTGGTTCTCAACATTCTCCAGAACAACATGCTGTTGAACGAAGGGGACTTCTTGCTGATGGGTGACATCCTGTCCGGCATTCACACTTTTGCTGTCACCTGATGGCCCGTGGAGGACTAGGCATCTACGTCTTCGCTCCTTTGTGCTTCGTGAACGGCTGGCTTCGAAAGAATGGAGGGTGGAGCTTTTCCTGGAGCAGAACTCTGTGCAGATCTCACCAAGGCGGTTGTCACTGCAAGTAGCTGGGAAGCTTTTAGGATTGCCGTGGGTCTCACCAAGTGCAGAAGGAACAGCAGCTCGATGCCAAGAATCCCTTTTTTGGAATCTGCAGCCAAAATTGGCTGGCACTAGCTTAGAATTTTGATATGACCTAAGGTCATAGGGGGAGTGTGGTAGGGCGGGAAGCTCTAAGTACCCTACTGCATTCCTTTTCAAATCGGGAAGTGTAAAAAGTTTCGCTTGTGGTCATTTTCCCCATGCGCAAGGATGACACGCATCAAACCATTGGTGCGCTGTTGCTATGGCTCAAGAAAAGTAGCGCCTTCGCTGCTTTGGGATTCGCAATATCAATTTTCATATTGCAATCAAGTTGCCAATGCATGCCGATGCAAAGCATTAGCCCAACTCCATCTCGGCAGGCTATCCAGCAGAGTGGCGTGGATCGGGAGCAGCTCTGGGTTACGTCAAAGGTACGAGTTCAGAGCTGCAACAGCCCGGAGGATGTGGTGAAGGCAGGATGGAAAAGGACTCATTGGCTCTTGGGGACGGAGGTTGAGCATGGTTGAGTCATGTACTGTGCAGTTGAGATTTAGTTGAGATATCTAAAAACCGTCATAGAGTCTTGCATCTTCGTTTTGGGATTGCTGTGGGCACGGTTTTCGGGGTTCGTGATTCGATTTTTGGGAAGGGTCTGACAGGCTCCAGACTCCAGATTGGCAGACGTACAGCCACTTCACAATTTTTTGCATTATTCCCGAGAGCGTCTGAGCGCAGGGTTCTTCCAATAGTGGGGGTCTGTAAAACATCTTCTCATCTTCACATCTTCTCTCACATCTGCTCATCTTCACATCTTCTCTCACATCTTCTCTCACATCTGCTCATCTTCACATCTGCTCATCTTCGCATCTTCTCTCACATCTGCTCATCTTCACATCTTCTCTCACATCTGCTCATCTTCACATCTTCTCTCACATCTTCTCTCACATCTGCTCATCTTCACATCTTCTCTCACATCTTCTCTCACATTTTCTCTCACATCTTCTCTCACATCTTCTCTCACATTTTCTCTCACATCTTCTCTCACATCTTCTCTCACATTTTCTCTCACATCTTCTCTCACATCTTCTCTCACATCTTCTCTCACATCTGCTCATCTTCACATCTTCTCTCACATCTTCTCTCACATCTTCTCTCACATCTGCTCATCTTCACATCTTCTCTCCTTTCTCTCTCCCTTTTCTCTCTCTCGCCTTCTTTATCTTTCTCTCTTAAGGCCGAGGGTGGTGCCGGCGGCGAGTCACGAAACGTCAACCCTTTCGCACGAAATGAGGGTCGATCGTCAAAAACTGAGGAAAAATTGCGATTTGACTTGTCCTGGAGCAACCCTTTCGCACGAAATGAGGGTCGATCGTCAAAAATTGAGGTAAAATTGCGATTTTACTTGTCCCGGAGCAACCCTTTCGCACGAAATGAGGGTCGATCGTCAAAAACTGAGGAAAAATTGCGATTTGACTTGTCCTACGGCAACCCTTTCGCACGAAATGAGGGTCGATCGGCAAAAACTGAGGAAAAATTGCGATTTGACTTGTGCCGGAGCAACTCTTTCGCACGAAATGAGGGTCGATCGTCAAAAACTGAAGTAAAATTGCGATTTTACTTGTCCTACGGCAACCCTTTCGCACGAAATGAGGGTCGATCGTCAAAAACTGACGTAAAACTGCGATTTGACTTGTGCCGGAGCAACCCTTTCGCACGAAATGAGGGTCGATCGTCAAAAACTGCGGAAAAATTGCGATTTTACTTGCCCCGGAGCAACCCTTTCGCACGAAATGAAGGTCGATCGGCAAAAACTGAGGAAAAATTGCGATTTTACTTGCCCCGGAGCAACCCTTTCGCACGAAATGAGGGTCGATCGTCAAAAACTGCGGAAAAATTGCGATTTTACTTGCCCCGGAGCAACCCTTTCGCACGAAATGAGGGTCGATCGGCAAAAACTGAGGTAAAATTGCGATTTTTCCTGTGCCGGACTTGTCTGTGTGTAAAAGCGTCTGTGTGTAAAAGCGTCTGTGTGTAAAAGACTGTGTGTGCAAAAGCGTTTGTGTGCAAAAGCGTGTGTGTGTAAAAGCGCTTGTGTGTAAAAGCTTCTGTGTTTAAAAGCCTCTGTGTGTAAAAGCGTCTGTGTGTAAAAGCGTCTGTGTGTAAAAGCAACTGTGTGTGAAAGTCTCTGTGTGTAAAAGCGTCTCTGTGTAAAAGCGTCTGTGTGTAAAAGCGTCTGTGTGTAAAAGCGTCTGTGTGTAAAAGCATCTGTCTGTAAAAGTCGTTTGTGTGTAAAAGCGTCTGTGTGTAAAAGCGTCTGTGTCTAAAAACATCTGTGTGTAAAAGCGTCTGTGTGTAAAAGCGTCTGTGTGCAAAAGCGTGTGTGTGTAAAAGCCTCTGTGTGTAAAAGCGTTTGTGTGTAAAAGCCTCTGTGTGTAAAAGCGTCTGTGTGTAAAAGCGTCTGTGTGTAAAAGCGTCTGTGTGAAAGCGTCTGTGTGTAAAAGTCTCTGCGGGTAAAAGCCTCTGTGTGTAAAAGTCTCTGTGTGTGAAAGAGCCTGTGTGTAAAAAGCGTCTGTGTGTAAAAGCGTCTGTGTGTAAAAGCGTCTGTGTGTAAAAGGCTCTGTGTGTAAAAGCCTCTGTGTGTAAAAGTGTCTGTGTGTAAAAGAGCCTATGTGTAACAAGCGTCTGTGTGTAAAAGCGTCTGTGTGTAAAAGCGTCTGTGTGTAAAAGCTTCTGTGTGTAAAAGCTTCTGTGTGTAAAAGCTTCTGTGTGTAAAAGCGCCTGTGTGTAAAAGCTTCTGTGTGTAAAAGCCTCTGTGTGTAAAGGAGTCTGTGTGTAAAAGCGTCTGTGTGTAAAAGCGTCTGTGTGTAAAAGCGTCTGTGTGTAAAAGCGTCTGTGTGTAAAAGTCTGTGTGTAAAAGCGTCTGTGTGTAAAAGCGTCTGTGTGTCAAAGCGTCTGTGTGTAAAAGCGTCTGTGTGTAAAAGCGTCTGTGTGTAAAAGCGCTTGTGTGTAAAAGCGTCTGTGTGTAAAAGTCTCTGTGTGTAAAAGCGTCTGTGTGTAAAAGAGCCTGTGTGTAAAAAGCGTCTGTGTGTAAAAGCGTCTGTGTGTAAAAGCGTCTGTGTGTAAACGGGTCTGTGTGTCAAAGCGTCTGTGTGTAAAAGCGTCTGTGTGTAAAAGCGTCTGTGTGTAAAAGCGCTTGTGTGTAAAAGCGTCTGTGTGTAAAAGTCTCTGTATGCAAAAGCGTCTGTGTGTAAAAGCGTCTGTGTGTAAAAGTCTCTGTGTGCAAAAGCGTCTGTCTGTAAAAAGTTCTGTGTGTAAAAGCGTCTGTGTGTAAAAGCTTCTGTGTGTAAAAGCGTCTGTGTATGTAAAAGTCTCTGTGTGTAAAAGTGTTTGGGTGTAAAAGTCTCTGTATGCAAAATCGTCTGTGTGTAAAAGCGTCTGTGTGTAAAAGTCTCTGTGTGCAAACGCGTCTGTCTGTAAAAAGTTCTGTGTATGAAAAACTTTACAAAAATACGATGCAAACTATTGTCTTGTACTAGTCATATATTGTCTTGATACTACTCTTCTCGTCTGCCTATAATACATCTTTATCATATTATCTTGTAATATAGTGTCTCCATACTAACAACAGAAGGCTCTGCTCCTCTACGCTCTCGGGCCATCCGTCGTCTAGTATAAAGACATTTTACAACTGTTTTTGCAGTTTTTGACGCAGCTTTCCATAGATTTTGCCCGAAAATCAGGCAGTGGACAGCAGTCTGCAGCAGCTGGACATTGGCTATTTGGAGCCATGGAAGCAGAGGAAATGCGGGATCGCAGGATCGCTGTACTGGGGATGACCCAAAGTATGACACGGAAGCCGGGAATGCTGGGGTTGATGTTGATCTTTGGGTCTTGTTTACTGTTTTGAAAAAGTGGGCAAAGCGGTTCGTGGACCAACCATGCATCTTGGTTGTTTATGTTGTTTGAACATGGCTAGGACTTGATGCTGCTCCATGGTGGTGATGGATGGGGCATCGGCCCTGATCGTGATGAAGCACTTTGGCGGGGCCTCATTGCAGCACAGAAGGCCAGTGGTCAGTGAATTTGCTGGCAGTTTTCGCTTCAACACTAAACTCTGATATTGGCTCCTGCCTGGCTCATGGAGCTGTCTCAAGGCTGGAAAAGTGCGAAGTATCGGTGTGTCGAACCACAACCGAGACACTCGGAGACACTCACAAATGGCAGGAGGGTTACAGTACTTTGAAGGTTCAGTTTTCCAAGATGAGTGCCTCCAGTGGAAGTTCAGGTTATCAAGCAGATCTGGTAGGGTCATTGGATGCATCAAATCCTAAGGAAGAGGTGGAGCGTCTCATTGCCAAAACCAAAGTTGTACCTGCTGTCAACCAGCTCGAATTTCATCCTTGGGTGACTCAGCTCAGACTAGCAGTGCAAAAACTAATGCGCTTGACTTACCCCGCCCAATGAAGTGGATTTGATGCAGAGTGGAAAGCATGCTCAGTGATGGATTAAAAGAAAGATGAGATGAGGGTCAAACACAGAAAAAAAACCATGGATGGAGCACACTTCCCGCATGTGAAAATTGGTTGATTGGGCTCTTTGCTGAATCAGTTCGCTCAAAGTGGGCTTTCATCCTGTTCCCTTCCCCTTCACCTTGCTGTGCCCCAGGTGCCATCCGAAACCAGGGACCTGGTCCGCTGGTGCCAGGAGAAGGGCATGGTGGTGACTGCATATGGCTCCTTAGGCCAGCCATGAGCAGTTCTCAGCTGACCCCTGCTTGATTGTACGTGTCTGTACGTATCTGTATGTATATACGGGTATCTATATGATTTATATAGTATTTATATGAATTTATATGTATATACTGTATAAGTATAAGTTATTATAACACGATATTATGAAACCACGATAAAACACGAACATAGGGGAACCCAGGGAATAGTAACTGATGCAAGCGCGGGGATTTCACCTCCAAGAGCGGGATGAAAGCCCCACAAGTTGATGCTTATCACTCAGGTAATCTGGGAGAGAATGTGTCTGTTACAATATTGGGCAATGGCCCCTGAAATCCCTGACTGGTGCGTCGTGCTACATCAGTGGTGCTTGTAAGGTAACTAACTAGCTTTGGAGAATGAACTCACGGGTAAGGAGATGTAGCTGGACCGGTTTTTGCGTAATGCACCCCAAAAGTTGCACCAGAGAATAGGCGTTACACTGGGATCCGCTGACAGGTGGCTCCCGCAACAAAGCACAGGGAGAGGCTTGGGGTCCTGACCAGACACATCTGACAGGCCTCTTTGTAGATTCAAAACCCATTTGTACATGTCTATCATGTCTCAAATCCTATCAAGCCAAGAAAGTTCACAATGACAAGAGACTCATTCTTCTTTGGTTCAGTGACCCATTGTTTTCTTGGCAAATCACGGCACATTTCTGATTCACCCGCAGGTCGTATCGCAGGTGGCGAACAATTACGGGAAGACGAATGCCCAGGCAGGGACTCCGTTGCTCCATCTGCTTGAACCAACATGAAGGCCTTTTGCCCAACCGTATTGCGGATCTAAGTCCTTTGGATGCCTCTTGCACTGCCATTTTGGCTCTTGCAGGCGTTTTTAAAGGTTGGAAAGAACTTCAGAGGGTCATGAATCATCCAAGATATCATGGCGGCACCCTTATCCAAACCACTGAACAAGAAGGGTGCGAAAGGGTGCGAAGGGTGCACCGTATTTTGGAGGGAGCACTGGGCCCACAGGTGCTGTTGCGATGGGCGCTGGACCAGGGTGTGGCAGTGATCCCAGGAACCAACTCTGTGCCTTGGATGCAGGAAATGCAGGAACTGCAGGAAATGTCAGTGCTAGGGCCGGTAGGGGGAATGACATGGGAATGACATGGTTTGGAAAACGACAATATGGATGAGGGGAATGTGCACCTTGACTGCCCAGCCGTTGCACACGTGAGGCTGAGCACATCCGAGAGGATTTGGATCTCAATTTCCGCCTTGATGCAAAAGATGTGCAGCTCATAGCCACTTGGAGTGCTAACGGGCACGGCTGACACCGATTGATACATGGTGGTGGGGTTGGACCATTGGACCATTGGACCATAGCTCATAGATAGATACGTAATCAAAATGATGCCTGCTTTTAAACATGGAACAGAAATGAACAGAAGTTAGTTAGTGGTTCTGGAGTTTGGAACATTAAGTGGATGTTGGAAGATATGTCACCTGGTGCTGTTTCTCAATAACCTCTTAAGGCACCTGTTCGGAGATTTGTCATGGTCCTAGTGAGATGCAAGAGATGGTCTGAGCTTGATGGCCTTTTCCATTTTCGATCCTCTGAGACTTGGGTCTCTCTTTTTTTTTGCTGTAGGCTTGGGTGGATTTGGATTCATGGGCCAATCATCCAACAGTTCCCTTCTTTTGCCCTTGACCACTGATTGGGAACACTGAGGAGTCCAGTAGCGCGCCTGAGTACTTCACACGCTGGCGCAATTGCCGAAGTGGTTGTGCCTGAAAGCTGCACGGAGCGCCTGGAAAAGGATGGCGATCTCTGGAGTGCTGCTGGGTTCCTGTTGGAAATGGCTAAATGACTTTGGCTCATAATTCATAATTGTGGACCCTGCGAGTTGGATGGTTCATGCAAGCAGCGGGAAAAGCAATCTGTTTGATAAAAAAATCCGGCGTCTCGGCAAAGATGTACAAGGAGACATGGAGTTTGAAAACCCAGCTGCCTGCCCTTTCCAATTACACAACACGGATCACCAGTTTCTACCATGGACCAAGACCAAGAGCCCAAAGTGTCAAGCTGCCAGGACATGTGATTAGCCTGAAGCAATGGCCTCAGGCTGCTGGATCGCTCTTTACAACTTCAGTTCAGCAGGGAGTTCGTTGTAAGCTTCCCTGGTTGATACAATGGCAGATTTGTCAGGCAGCAGCTACCCACACCGTAAATTACATGCTGTGAGGATCCACGGCAAATTCTCCATGTTTCTGGGGATCACGACACTTCCTGAAGATGAGCATTCCAACATATTCTAACAATTGTGCGCATAGGATAGGACATTTTATTTACAATCCAGAATTACAGATGGGTTTGTCCTGAAAAAAGGATCACACTACACTTTTCCCCAAAAAGGCCCACAAACCTCTGATGAACGTTGCAGAGTTATATAGCTGGCTACACACAGCGCTAGATTTTCAGTGCCTGGATGGAGAACATGATGCTGCAAAAAGGATGTTGCTCTGTTGGCATTTTGCATCCTGTAGCTACTCTTTCATTCGCGTTGATCAGTTGCAGGTTTGAAACAGGTTTATTCTATGGACATCTCCACTTGACTTGACTGAGAAATGGGACTCTGTAGCTGTCGGCATCCTGTCAGGAGTGATGCAACAGGCTGCGACTGTACTGTACAACAGCATGACGTACGTTGCATTTTGCAGTCTCAAGAGTTTGAGCAGAGGTACCAGATGTACCAGATGAACAACACTCGATTTGCAACAAGAAGAAGCTTTCATGAACACAACCAGAAAGTCATCGAAGGGAATGATTGGCTGCGGGCTATGACTCTTCATCCTTTAAACTGCTTTGACCCAAAATGCGCGGTAGCAGTAGCATACCAATTTCAACTTGAACTTTGAACCGAAACCATTTGGCCTCGTTGACGTCGCGTCCCAAACAGATCACTTGGTCTGTTCATTTCGCTGGAAGCTATGGCCGCCACAGCTGCAGGCAGTTCAAGCGTCAACATGGGGTGAAAAGGTTGTTATGCAAGACAAGGGATAGGTGAATATCCTAGAAGCAGACTATCTTAATCGCCAGAATATAAGGTACAAGTTTGTGTTGAAGAGCAAGTTTAAGTCATTGCAAGCCATTGTTTTCCGATTCTTTCCTGAGCATTCGACTGCTGAAGTGGATCCTCCACAGACCTGTGATAGCTACCTTCCAGCACAACAGCGGTCAGGGCCACATGTTCTCTCAGAAGAAATCCCTCAGAAGCTGCGCGCACAGCATCAGGGCCGGGCTTGTTTGTACAGGGGTTTGAGATTTAATATGCAATCCTCCATACATAGTAATTATATAGATTTATCTAGAAGTGATATAGATTCAGATATATTCATATTAAGATATTTGACAATGTAATAATATCAATAATGTGTATAATATGAATATGTATATATATATATATATTGAGTGCATGCATGTATATATATATATATCTACATCACCAACAATGCGTGCAAGTAACACACACACACACACACGCGCGCGCGTATACTATACTATACTATACTATGCTATGCTATACTAGTACTAATACTGATACAGATACTGATGCTAATACGAATGCTAGTGCTAATGCTTATCCTTATACTAGTACTTACTCTAATACATATACTATACTGTCATCCATCCTCCATACACAGACCAGGCCTGCCCCCAGGAGCTGAAGTGCTGTTGTAAGGTCAATGCTAGACTCTGAACCAACCTTTGGGTGTTTGACAGGGCTAGGTTCACATAGTGGGTGCCAAGGCTGGATGACTTCTGTGGCGAGCTGGATTTAGCACGACCTCTTGGAGGGCCCCTGTGGTGGAACTCGCTGCTATGGACTGTGTGGCACCTTGTGGCACCACTGTGGCCTCATTGGATTACATGCTTTCCGACAAAGCGTCGAAACCTATAGGCCTATAGGCATCAAGCTGGGAGGAATTCAAAGCTTTGTTTGCATCGAACATATTGTGATTAATCAATTTGTAATCCGTAATGTCATGGTGTCAGTGCAACTGTCACGTCAGTTGGACTGTTGCCAGTGTCGACACAGAAGGCTTCAGCATTTGCTCGGCAGGACCAATTTTCCACCTCTGTCGATGTTTAGTGACAAGAACTCCAAAGAGGCCCTGAAACTCGAATCTGGCAGATTGGGTTTCGACGCTTTGGACTGCGGCTTCATTAGACTAAGAATGACAGGGATGGCTTACCTATGGACGCATCTTTGGGTGATACTCATTTTTACAAGTTGAAGTAGTGTGGCTTAGCTGCTTTCAGCGGCTGAGATTTCATTTTCTGTCCTAGCTCATTTGATTCATGTTCAGCGAATTTTGAGATGAAAGATGTCCGTTTCAAACTGGCAGCTTGACCACAAAGTTTTGCCACAACTGAACCTTGACATTGTTTCACTTCTTCACGTTTGGCATGGCTGTCTGGGCAGGGCAACAACTCGGACTTCTTTGCAAGCCTTGCAGCCTTGAATACTGACAAGAGGCCGGCCAGCCCAAGAATGCACTATTTACGTGAGAGTTTATAAGCAGGTTTGCGAAATTAAAGATTTCCGCTTAAGTATGAGCTGCTCATTCATCCATTCTGAGACACCATTGCAGCAGGGAATAGTGTTCCTTGCGAATTTGCCAGGGATCATTGATGCTCGACAGGTCTTATCGCTCACCACAGATTCTGTGCATGGATCCATATGAGGTAATCAGACACTGGCCCAGGAAACATCAGGAAACTTGTTTCTTTCTGGTGTTTTCCGCTGTATTGTTACGTTGGTTCGTGGTCTGTGTTTTGGAAGTCCACCCCGGTGGCACCATGACGTATGCACGCGGCGCGCGGTAAGTAAAGCACCACCCAGGTTGCCATGACCTGGCGAAGCTTGCATTCTAGGAAACATGCGTTGCACAGACCTGCAGTACATTTTTCATCATTTTTCCTTGTTCCATCTTGTTCCCACCAACAAAAGGCACTGTCTGCTTTCATCTCACAGGCTCAGCGAGCAGTATGTGACCTTCACTGCAGCCAGACATGTGGACGCCCAAGTCACGGCAAATGAGATGTGCACGAACTGCTGGTGTTGGGCATTGTTGGGCACTAGTTACAGCATTGCTCAAGATGGATGTGATACATCTTACATCCTCTTACATATCAATCCAGAGTGATAAGATCCATCATGTGGGGACAAATACTTGACAAGACAAAGAGGGAAGGTTTCTTGATTCAAACACATCACACAAGAGATTCCAGATGATTCCAGATAACAGCACAGGATCTGTGCAATTCCAGCACGATGCCAAAGAAGAATTGCCGGCTGACAGCTGGGAACTCAGCCATCCAGGTTTTCCCGCATCGAAATGTGAACTTTCATTGCAAGTTGCATAGCTGATCATAGCTCTATATATTTCATATGTTTGCACAGGCCTGGCCTAGTTTCGCCTGGAAATTTAGCAGAAGCGTTGGTGGCAACACTCCTGGATGTTGAGTGGCTTCCACCAAACTCAGCTTCAGGTAGAATGCATGCAGTACGAGGGTGTCCGCGTCCTTGCCTAAGTCGGCTATGTATGGCTATGTCGGAATACACCTGCGACATCCAGTCGCTCTGACTGCAGGAGTGTCAATGGAACTTTCCGCTGCAAGACTACATCCCCAAGCGTGACAATCACCAGACTCCGGAAGCGCAGGCGTGGAACCACCGAAATCTATGATACTAGTACCTGTCAGGCTGTGGTGCAATTTAAAATTTAAAGCTACAATTATGAATTATTTGCAAAAAAGTAGTGATGTCTTCCCTCCCGTTCGAATTTCAGGCAGGTTCACAGAGGACTGCAACAGACTGTTGCCGACAGCATTGCCTTGCGAGCTTGAAAGGCACGCCGATTCTGGGACAACAATGTGTTGCACATGGGCTTGAATGCAGAGGAGACGCTACAGGGCTAGGGCGGGGGCTCGAGGGCAACACATAGCCTGAACCTTTTTCGCTCCAACTATTGGAAAGTTTGGAGAATTGATCATTATTCCGGAGGCGTGACTCCTTTTGGATCTTTCTTTTTTTTCTGTCCCCCGGATTTTCCACTTGTTTCATCTTTTGTTTCATCTCGTTTCATTTTGTTTCTCTGTTCCCATTTTCACATTCTGCCAGCCTTTTGGGGACAGGAGTTCTCTGACAAGGTCATGCCCGTTGGTGATATCCAGGTGAGACCGGTGATGTGGTGGTGCAAGCTGCCGATTCTGAAGCAGATCCATGGCAATCTATGCCTATGTGCCATGAAACACATGAAACACTCCCAAATTGGGTACATAACCTTCACAACCTTGCTGGTATAGTCCATTCTGTTCATTCCTGGATGGTCACTAGGTACCAGATTGTACCACGATTTATCTCGAAAGGTAGCGGTGAGCTACCTGAGTTCCCCCTTGCGTAGCAAGTATTAGGGGGCGAGCGGTGCAAGTGCAAGAGTTTGGGCCGGTTATGTCTCGGTCCGCCTTTCAAGGGGGGCCCCCCCCCCCCCACCCTTCGATTCCCCCCAGGTCCGCCTCTAAAGCCGGGTTTGCAACATAGGCGGACTACAAGGAAACGCCAACAGCCGCACATGCACTTTCATCCACCACGTTTACATACATCCCCACCCCAACCGAAGTCAAGACCCGCACTGAAACTCGACAATGTCAGATTGCTCAAGAACTTTGTTTCGTTCACCCTAACAACCGCGATGAACAATGTCGTAGCAAGAACGTTGCGACGGACT